TGAACTTGCGAAATATAAAGAGAAAAAAAAAATCTTATAGTCTCGGGATTCTACTCTCATCTCTTAACCTATTCACTAACCTTAATAAATAAACGAGGACCATTCCCATTTTGTAGCTAAAGCTGATCCTTTGAATCTTTGATGAGCCAAAAAAAATATATATATATATATATATTTCAATTAATACAAATAATTTGATTTCGCATGTTCAAAAATTGATAATCTAAAACTAGAAGAAGTTCAAAAGGTCGTGAAAGAGAAGAAACATAAAATGACATACAGTAAACACAAGTAGGCATGGATCCTGGAAAAAGATTTAGGACATTGTTAGGTCAATGTCTGTGAATTATATTTCTTCCTTCCAACCAAGCATATGATACAATGATGGATGAGATTTGGCAGGACAAAGGCTAATAGACAAATACATCATGGCCACTACTATGACTAGCCAAATAGAGAACCTTAGGAATTGACCATAATGTCAATGTTAGTTTCCATAAATGAAGACACGTTAACGTTGAAATGACCACGATGTCCCTGTTGCAGATGTGCCACTGCAAAGAAGGCAAGTCAAGTGGATCTGAGAGAAGTTCATCTTTCCACATATTAGCTTAATTGTTTTCACTACTGAATTATTAGAGAAAGCAAAACAATCTTAACTTTCTCACTAGTTTGATTGAAGTTGTAAATCAATTTGTTTCCCATTATTATTTTAAATTTGAATAGAAAGAATGATAATAGAGAAGAATTTTCTTATGAACTCATTAACTTGGATACATATAATCTGTCAAGCTAAAAAAGAAAAAAAAATTAGTTTGTAGAAATCGGCCAAAGATTTTTTTCCTTTCTTTAATGGAAAGTCCAATGGATCTTAATCTACGAAATTCAAGATAAACCTCTTCTAATCTCAAATCTATCACCCAACTACGTACTCATAAAATCTGATGAAAATGAAATCTTATAATGACAATTTAAAGCAATAAAATAATTTGTTTTCGCACGACGCTATTTTAATAGTTCCAAGGGTGTGTTGCATAGATTTGGCGTGGGACTCCACATTAGCCTCATATGTGACCACGTGGAGTGTTGGTTCCAATCCCATTAGATTAAGCAAGATATTAAGTGGCTAAATCTGTTCGACAAGAATGTCTTCACATCTAGTTTAAAATTATTAATGGTTGAATCTCTTGCAAGATGATGCTAGCGAGCTTTTTATAAATAAAATCCCCTGTTTTCAGTCTAACTGATCTAACTATCAAGTATTTGGCCAGAAAAAGACCAATTAAACCCTATATATCTTATAAGTTGATCATTGGTATCTTGGATGGTCTAAATCAGTACAAGAGCGACTGACCTTGAAGCTGGCTAGTTTATTATACAATTCACCGAGTCGCTTTCCTTATCCATTTTTATGGTCAATTAAGCTTCTATGTATTACTATTCAACTTCCGGGGTGAATGTCAAAAATTTATATTCTTTCTCAAAAAACTAATAAAAAAGGGAAAATGCATTCTTGCTACGTATATAGTTGGCGATGAGAAAAATCATCCTGATGTCAAGTTAGGTTGCGAGTAAGTATTTATAATGACGCATTCCAGGTTTAATAAATATATAACCTGCAACCAGTAACAAATTTAATAACGAGAATAACATCAAGATCATGCATGCGTTGTACATAGGGCTTCAAAAGTTGATGTTCTACGAAAGAAAGTGTTGGAATGAAAATAAGGGATAAATGCATGGATTGTTGAAATATATATATATATATATATATATTGTATCTAAATACATTAGTTTAAGAGTAATTTTTTTTATATAAATTCCAAAACGAGAAGGGTTTAATTTCGGCGTGCAAATAGTGATCTAGAGTAACGTAATCACAAGAGAAAAATACTATAATCATCGAATCTTGTTATTATCAGATAGTATTTAAATTAGAAGTTGTTAGAAACATCTGCTGTACGTTTTGAGGTTGCTTAACGAGATGGCATGGAAACTGGACAATTCATTGGTACTTGAACAAGTATCTTTCCGTTACAACTATCTACTAACTAAGTTGGTGAGTTACATTAAGCACGGGGTTTAGCATAGATTTAGTCAAAATTCAGATGTGCCCGTCACGTTGTGTACATCTAGCAAGCAACAAAATGCAGTAGTCTATTCCTGGACGGTTGAATCCTACATGGAATTTCTACTTTATCAAGACCTATGTCGGGTAAAATTTCACGAATCCGATGAACTTATTATTTTAGCTTGACCACTCAAGCCCATTATTCACCATTTAACCCTCCTAAACGGATTGTTATGATTGACAGAACCTAAAAGGAAACTAAGTAATGATGTTCCAGATTATATCAAATGAAGTGCATGCTAGCTCCAAATATCTGGTGGTGCTTCTTTCAATGGGTAGTCGTGATGATCATTCTAAAACATGATGCATTGATCAGTTTACTTCTTTTCTTCTCATTTGCTATTTTTGAGTTTTAATTTAAAACGAGTTTTATTACGAATTTTTCCGATTCAGTTATAAAAATGTGGTTGCTATTAAAATTATTAAAAACCTTTATTATTATACTATATGTGCTGTCTTATACATAGAAAAGAGAGAATAAATTATATCACCTTATTCAAAGGATATACATCCAAAATCTAAACAGAAACTATAAAATGGAGTTATATATATATATATATATATATATTATTAAATTGTTAAAATGGAGATATAATTGATTCTATATGGAACGAGAATAATAAAGTTTAACTAAAATTTTTTAAAAATCAATTTGTTTATTACTGGATTAAGAATTTAATTTTTAATAAATTGTCAGATTTATTGTTTTGAGTATGCCGTCCATTCAAAATCTATATGTTGTGTTTCTGGATTATTAAAACAAATTTATCAGTGCTTTGACTACAAGCTTACTAAATAACCGGAACTAATATGCCTCTTGTGGAATGGTTTTTTGAAACGCTAGAGGCGAATCTGAAAAAAGCAGAGGGACTAAATTAATGCTTTCCGTCAAGCAAAAGAAAAAAAAAGGGGGGCTGCCCTTTGTAGGTAAAGGGTTTGGATAGGAGGAATCTAAGCCAAAAGCTTCTTTTAGATTTTGTTCCACAAAGTGGAGTTGGGTGGACTAATTTGGTTGATGACCTAACATCTTTTGGTAGAGCAATGAGATCGAGGTCGCCCCGGACCCCACTTGATCTACGGCCAATAGTGTTGTGAGGGGGGCTAAGATTTTGGACTCAAAAGGAAGCATAATGGTTCACATCATAGCGTAATCCACTGACATCTGGGCCCATGATACTGCCAATCCCTTGTCCTGGAGCTGGATGCCAGCAACGTTAGGTGGAACTAAGCCCAGCTGCTTATAATCCAACCATGTAGACAACTACGCACATATTCATTCTCATGTATTAAGATTTAATCCTTTTCATTCAAGTCTCAACCAGTGTTTCATGACGTGTCAAAAGCAAGTGATGGAAGTATCTTTGCTTTTGAGTGGACAATATGTTTGGTCCCCTAGTTCTCAAAATTAATAAACCATAATGGTTAGCTAGTTGGTTCCATTTTTATTCTAAAAAACATATTTTTATTTGACTGTTATAAGAATAAATAAATAATATTAAAACTAAAGTAAATAATTGATTCCATAATTACGTGATGTTCTCCAAATTATAATGCATTTTTTAACAATAACTTCCTTTGGTGGCCTCCTAACAATAAAACTGAATTTTGTTACTTGTAGAAATCTACGTTCTCCATCATGGACGATTGAGGCCTCAACTCTAACCTATCGAGGATGGCCGTGAAGGGAGAAAATAAGGACAAAAAGCGATCCTTAAAACCAAATATCAAGGTAATATATATAATTTAAATAAATATATTAATTAATTAATTAATTTCAACTATTATTGGTATGATGGAACTAATCAGTTCATATTTTAACTTCCTCCCGTTTTTACATTATCATCAAAATCTATTAAAACGTAATTAATTAACTAGTAAACGATTGAGATCATAAATTGTTTTGGATTTTTAACTGAAACCAAATATTCTGATATTGGAGTGATTGAATTATCAATTATCATGGGTAGATGTTCCTCATGTTACGGAGGTAAGCTTCAATAATATGAACAATGAATCGTTTGTGATTATAATTTAGAATGTTAATGTTAAGATGATCACCATTTGAAATACTGAATTATACATATAGTTTTTTATTTAAGCATTAATTTTTTCAAACATTTTTGTATAATTAAAATCTATTGTTTTAATTTCTTTTATTCGTGTTTTTCAGAAGCTTTTGCTAAATTTTCCTTTTCATATATCAAAAGATAAAAAAATAAAAAACAAAACAGAATACCTTTACATTGTTGAATATTGAAATATTAAAATAATATGACAATCAATGATGTTTTTGTCATCACAAGTTGATAAAAATAAATAAAATAAAATAAACATGAATTGTCCACATTACAACCTACTAAAAATCTAGTATCGTTTATATATATATAACATAAACCAATTATTTAGAATATTTATTTTTTTGTACAAACATACTAAAATAGCTATCATTGTCTCAATGTGGTCTTCGTTAACATGAACATTTGCAACCAATATAACCATTATTGCCTCAACTGTTTTCATGACTGCCTAACTATTGTATTTACTTCACTCCTGATAAAAAATTTAGGTTTAAATCTATCTCTATTCACTCCTGATAAAAATTTAAGTATGTTTAATATGTTTACAATGATGCCCTAGCTCTTTTAAACCTTGAGATGGCTTAATTCTTTTTTGGGCCTGGTGGGTTAGTTGGTATCTCGGGCTTGGTTCATCCTTCCTCCATCGCATTCGTTTATGGGCTAGTTGCTCACTAGTACGGGTTCACTCCAAATCCTTCAGGACCTGAACTAGTAACCCATCTCCAGCTCTCCTCCCTTCAGACACAACTGTCACACTGTCGATTATCTCTATCCTCTTCTTCGGCCCGAGGATGCAGTCACCATGTCTTCACTTTTGCAAGAACTTCACAATCAAGCCTCACTTAGGGTTCCACCACCACACCCTCAAAACCACACAAAAACCTTTCTGTGTACCCAAACCCAAGAAAATTAACATAACCCAGTGCCACAACAGACCCAATCAGCAGAAAAAAGAGAGGGTGAAATTAAGGGGCAAGAAGGAAAATGTATGGAGCATTGACAATGACATGGAAAATTCCGCAGCTGAGAAAGAAAAAGAGAGAGGGAAACAAAAGAGGAGGAAAGGAAGGAGAGTTGTTAGAGGGAAGAGGAATAAAGGTGGTAAAATTATGGTGTCTGGTGCTATGTTAATGGAGGTTGAAACTGTTCTTCAAACTCAGGTAGTTATAAAATTTTATTGCTTTCTTTTGTTTTTGTGTTTCTTGAGGTGTTTTGTTATGTGGGTCGTTCTTGTATTAGAATTTGGAATGCATGATAATTAGAAATGATTGAATTTTTGATGATTTGTTATGTGGCTTGAATTTTGTTTGCTGTCATTTTAGTTGCATATACAATTAGGCTTCTAACTTTTAAACTTTTATAGTTTAATCTTTTGTTACCTTAGAATTTAATGGAGGTAGTTGCAATTTTATTGCTTTCTTTTCTTTTTGACTTTCTTAGTATGTTGCAAAATGTGGATACCTTTTGTATTTGAATTTGCAACATGTGGCAATTAGAATTGCTTGAATTTTGGGATTTTTGTTTCATTTTGTTGAACAGAAGATACAGACTTCAACGTTTCAAACTTTGTTTGCTAATTTATATTTTGGTGTCGTAAAGTGATGAGAAGTCTTGTGTTTTTTTCCTTTTCAGGAACCTGTAATAAGACCAGTATGGAATACATTTACTAGTAGTGTCTGTGGGATATGGAAAGGTGTGGGGGCTGTATTTTCACCAATTACTGCTGAAATGGAGCCCATCGAAGTTGGAAGCAAGAATGAAAACCTTTATGATTGCTACACCCTTGCTCGCATTGAAGCAGTGCCATCACCGTCTGGAGATGGGACATCTCAAGTTCAAAGGAAGATTAATTGGGTGACTTTAAATCCTCACGGTGAAGTGCCACAGTCTATTGGAGGCAGCAGCAGAAGTAAAGAAGAGCAGAAAGAAGGGAATGCATCTTTACCTTCTGAGAAAGTGGTTGATGCTGCTATGAGTAATCGTGTTTTGCCTGGTTTTGAGTCTTTTAACTATGAAACCAGTGATTTAATGGAAGAAGATGTCATGGGTAATGAACCAGGTCTTGTTTTCTTTGAGGTATGATTTACCACATCTGCAATCAGTTATTGATATAAAATTGGATGAAAGTTATGACTGTTCTAGTATGTAATGTATAAGCTACGTTTTGAAGCTTGAAAGAAGTGAATCATACTTTTCTACTAGGGTTTTTTAATGCTATGGCCCTTTGCTTGCTTTATGTTAACGTTCTGTGTGCCTTTTAGCCAGTAATTGCCGCCACTTTTGTTAGAGCTATTAGAGTAGTTATTGCAGTCTCATAATTGTATTATGTAAATTAAATCAATTGTTTACTGGGAACTGCTAATATATTTTTCTTACATTTCTGCGTAACTGATCTACAAAGTCAATAGTATAATGGTCTACATTTTTTTGATTTTAAGTATAATGATCTAAATAATGTATTTTCAGGATGGATCATATTCCAGGGGACCAGTTGATATTCCAGTTGGTGAAGTTAATGGTTCGAACTATTACCTTTCTCCAACCTTTAAATTTGAACAAGTAAGCTTACAATGCTTTGGTAGTGCGATGGAGCATTTTAATGATACATGAATTTTGCAGTTTCTTATCTTACAATATGAAAAGCAGTCATTCTGTTTATTAATGTCTTTTATGCTCAGTGTTTGGTTAAAGGTTGCCACAAAAGACTTCGGATTGTCCATACCATAGAATTCAATAATGGGGGTTCAGACATACAGATCATGAGAGTTGCTGTTTACGAGGAAGAGTGGGTCAGTCCTGCAAATCTTCGTGATGAAAGGTATTTATAGTTCAGTAGTATGTGTTATTGCAGCTTTAAGTACTAAATGTTCATAATTTCTATCATTTAAGTTTCAAAGCTTATTTTTGAGATATAAGTCTTGGATGTTGGATCAAGTGGTAAATGAGTGAGGTGATGTAGGTTGGTGTAGTTCTTAGATCAACCTTATCAAGCAGGGTAAAAAAGAAAACCCCTCTTTCCTTTTTGTGCATTCTATTTGCTCTGTTCTTAGCAGTGTCTGGTGAATGGAAATACTGCATGGCTTTTTCTATTTTTTGGTCCAGCAATTTTGTTGTTTAGATTAATTTTTTTCCTAGATATATTTTTCTCCATTATCTACTTCTGTAGCAATAGAGCTAGAAGCATGAATGGTTTGTATTTCTTTTGAGGTGAAACTAATTTCACGCCTCCAACAACTTAAAACAGTGATCTGGAGTTTGATGTGAAACCATTCTCTCAGCGGAAAAGAACCCAGCCGTCAGAGCTCACAGGGCCCTGGAAAGTATTTGAGATGAGTGCTACTCCAATATTTGAGGATGAGATAGCCATAGAGGAAAGCAATGGATCCCCATACGTTTATCTTTGCACAGAGACCTTGAAAAAGAGGAGCCTGCCTGAGAATCCAGTTTACTTTAGAGAGGAAGAGATGATAGATATGCAGGATGTAACTGTCCTTTGGCTGCCTGGAGGGGTGACTGGTTATGTTGATGTCAGCAAAGATGGCATCCTTTGCATTGGTGTTGGGTGGTACTCAGATGAGGGAATCAATCTTGTTATGGAAAGGGATTATGGGGTAGATGGGAAACTCAAGGAGGTCAGGTGGAAATCCGAGTTAAAGCGAAGGTGGCCTGATCCACTCCCTGTATAAATTCTCACTTGATGACTGGTATGTTAACATAAAATGTCATGTTTGTATCTTTCTTAGATCAATAAGCTCTGACATAGAATGTCGTGTTCAATATTTGAGCCAATTACAGTTTGTTTAAAGTTAGAAAACATAGCGATGAGATCGATTGTAAAAAGACAAGCCAAGCTCAATCCGGTTTAAGAGATTGTTGGTTTCAAAATTCGTGCCGTTGAAGCTTAAACTTGAATTCGTCCAAATCTAGTGCTCCTGGCATTTCCGAGTTGGTTTTCGAATTTTGTACTCCTTACTCATGAATCATAAACATCTTGAACCAAAAAAAAATAAAAAGGGAAGGAAAAACCTCAACTGCCCTATGCACCATGCTTGATTAAATTGGTACTCTCGGTTCAGCATTACATTACAAGATGGCCATGCTCTTGCTTTACTTGGCAAAAGTCTATAGATCAATCAAAAGTAGATATGCAATTCATAGAAATGAAAAAAGGGCTATCAAGGATAAATAAGGGAGCCGAAAGCTTTTTCTTCAAGAATGTTTCAGAAAGAAAAAATAGATTTTCTTTAGACAACAGACAAGATACTATGAAGAATATTTAGCTGTGGCTTTGGATTTATCTCTATCGACCTTTTTTGTTCCTGTATCTGTTAAAATTTTGCAACTTATTATGTTTTTTTTTCCTTCACTTTTTTAAATGGCATTTTCTTATTTGCTTAACAAGTTTTGCAATATTGGAATATAAATAATTAAAATGAGTTTTTAATGCCTTTTATTTATTTGGGTAAATTGAGCCATTCATGATATCAACCAGATGCAGCTGGCCAAATTGATAACAGATGACGCTATTCGATTTTTTGATACAAACACAGAGATTGTTTAGCAAACAGGAGAGTATATGCTTTGAACAAAAGAGGGGTGACTCCAGAAGCACTTACAGCATTTAAGTGTCTTACCTTTCTGTAAGGCAACTCACCCAAATTATTAAATTACTTATTCATAAATGTCATAAGGAGCTAACCTTAAGACTTGCTTTTCGATCAAATTTTACTCTGAGGAAGAAATTATCTACAAATATCCTCATTTTGGTCTAAGTTGTAGCCAGATTATAATATGTACTGTACACTGTACAATTTTTAAGCACATACATGGAATAAACTGTCATATATATCCTGATTAACATGGAATACAATATATTATATGTGAACCTTAATTTTCATTTTCGTCTCAAGTTGTGGCCAGATCATTTCTTTCGTTAATCATTGCCCTTCCTTCCTTCTTTCTTTTTTTTTCTTCTTGCTGATGCATAGGCCACTTTTGATTGTAATCTCTTTCTCTTGAAGTATACTAAAGAATTTCTGAGATTCCTTCAGCAACTGGTATGTGACTTATTCCACGTTCCTTTCCTTCACATTTCATTATCACAAGAATTCTCTAGATTGCCATATGTATGCAAATTGAATCATCACCTCAACTCAAACTCTCAAAGGGACACTTGGGATTAAACTATGGTGGGTTCTGTTCAGTTCTTTACACTTTTCGAGCAACGGATAAAGAGCACGACAAAAACCTTTCAATGAGTTCTTTGATATACATCAACAGAAGATTCTATGTCACGTAAGAAAAAACCGTCCGAAGTGCTACGTTATTTCCCCCTAATTCCAAGACTGAAATGGTTGTATGCATCCTCTGGATCTCTTATGAGGTGGCATGAAGGTCGCACAAAGGATGAAATGCTACGAAATCCAGCAGATGGTTTAGCTTGGAAAGCTTTTGATGCCCGTTATCCTGATTTTGCATCCGGCCATTGTAATGCTAGCCTTGGTCTAGCTAGTGATGGGTTCAATCCGTTTCTGACAAGGAGCACTACGCACAGCACTTGGCCTGTTGTATTGATTCCTTACAATATGGAACCATGGGTTTGCATGAAAGACTCTTCTCTAATTTTGTCACTGATTATTCTTGGTGAAAAAGGTCCTGGATATGATATAGATGTAATTTTATTCCCTTTATTGAAGCGTTGAAAAAGTTATGGAATGGTGTTGATGCCTTTGGTCTCCTTTGATGCTTCCACCAGACAAACTTTCACATTATAGACTTACGTGTACCATCAGCGACTTCCCTGTATATGCTAATATATCAGGTTGGTGTACTAAGGGAACGTTCTGCTTGCCCTTGTTGTGGATGTACTGCGGTTTCACGTTAAAGAATGAAGGGAAATTTTCTTACATGGGGCACCGAAGATGGTTAGATCGAAATCATCCTTTTCGGTTCCAAAGCTCACAATTTGATGGCAGTCCCATAAATTCAAATAGCGGCCCTTACCATTAGTCGGCGTTATAGGAGCCAATATAACGGCCGTTTACAAAAAAATTAATAATAATAAAAAAAATCAATTTTTTAATATTTAGATTTTATAGTCTATCCACAATATATTATTAACATGTTTAATTATTAAAACTATTAAAAATATATAAATTAGAATAAATAAATTTATTAACAACTATTAATGTATTTATAACATTGATTATAATGATCGTTATTTTAATATCATGATAAATCACGATGTGTGGTAACGAATTATTCAACTACGTCCATAATATGGATGGCACTATAGAGTTGCAGTCTTGTCCAGTTCTATTATCTGGACTGATGTCCTGAGGCAAAGCAAAGGAAATGGATCGCATTTATGGCAAACTCATAAAGACATCGACGAAAAAGGTTCCGGAGGATGTTGGCAGCTCTAAGAATATCAAGTGTTTGGTGATTCTGATGACTTTTTGGGCGATGAAAATGAAGTAGATGGGTTTGAGACCGATGATATACCACTGCAGTTGTAGAAAAAAATAGAGTATATTTTTTTATCTACCCTATTGGGACTATTATATTCTTCGTCATAATTTAGATGCGATGCCTGTGGAGAAACATGTCTGTGATAATTTAATTGGAACGACGATGTTGAAATTTAAAGGTAAAACAAAAGATAACTTGAAGGCGCGGCTGGATTTAAAGGATATGGGTATAAGGTATGGCATTCGTCCACAAGAGCTTTCTTCTGATGGTAAATTTAACTCCCACATGTTACACAATGCCAAATCAAGAAAAAGATCTGTTTCTCTAAGTTCACAAAAGATCTCAAGGTTCTTAACGGATATGCTTCGAACATCTCTTGACAAGTGAATCTAAGAGAGCGTAAATTGTCGAACCTAAGAAGCCACGATGATCATATCTCGATGCAAGATATCCTACCAACGGCTGTACGAGGATCTGTATCCAAACAGTTTTTAGCAACTGTTTGCGAGTTGTCAATTTTTCTTTTTTAATACCGACCAGGCTTGTGTTTAATAATATAGAGAATTCTTAATCAATCAACGGTGATCCAATCTTAATATTTTTCCCACCCAAGATACTGAAACTGGCTAGGTGGCTGGTTGAAAAGTTTCCATCATGGCTTTTTAAGCAGGTAAGGTAGATAGTTCAACACAAATCCATATGCTAGCTCACTAATTAGATCAATTTTCACTTACATGTAATTTGTTGTTTAGGTACCGAGGATGACAGCCACCAATTGTCCATATGAAGTTTTCATCGTTCTTTGATATTAAAATTTTTTCGTATTAAAAAAATATCTCATATTAAATGGTTAAATTAAAATATATATATATATATATATATATATATATATATATAAATTTAAAAAGAGATTACTCACTATAAGATTTATATAAAAACTAATATCAATTATCTAATAATTATATATTTCGTAATTCCTAGTTTTGTGTCATGTCAAATTAAATTATACGTTTTTTAATATCCATGAGTCACTACCTTATGTGCATAATTTCATGAGTTTTCATCCCAGTATAATAATCTAGAAGCCACTCAATTAGTTTTAGGTATATAGTTCATAGTACTATAATTATCTTTTTTCTTTTTTTCTTTTGTAAACTCTTAACATTAAAATACGTACCATCATATTTTTGCAGATTTAGATAATGGCTCGAACAAAAGGAGTTGGACGACCATCACCAATAGTTGGTTGCTCTCATGAAAATTTTCGGAACAGACCTGAAAATGAACAAATAGATCATTTTCATTCTCAATCCTCTATAGAAGCCGTATCTTCTCAAATTAACTAGACCTGTTGATGCTGAAAGTCAAGCAGATGAGGCAAATTTTAATTTGCTTCTATGTTATAATTGATATTTATTTTATTATTATTTTGTTCTTTAGATGCGTCTGGAATGAGGAGGGCTAGGAAAACAACAGAGGTTCGCGATTTTTGGAATTTAAGCAAAGGAGAACAAATTGAGGTTCAATTTAATGAACTAGGTCAACCAATAACAAGTGCAGCAAGCTTCCTAAGTAGTTGGATTGGGATAATTACAAAGGAAGGACAGATATGTCCTCTGATAAAGGAGAAGTATAGGGAGATGCCTGATTGCTTTAAGGCAGTTGATGTAATTTATTATTTTTACTTACTTAATAGCACCGAATTATCTTATGTAAACTAGTAGAATGTCTTTATACTTATTTGGTGTTTATGTTGTTGTGTAATTTTTGATCCTGTAGGATTATCATGTGAAGACTTGTCTAAACAGACGATTGCTCACAATTGGAGAAATTTCAAATATAGATTGAAGAAGAATTTGAAATCAAGTGATAATCCAGAAAATGCTGCTGAAAAAGGACCAAATGGAGGAAACTCGGAACAATGGACACATATGTTATATTTTTTGGACATCAAAAGAAAGCAAGGTTAGGTACGAATCGACATATTTCTTTTTCTTAAGATTAATGAGCAGTGTTAGATAGTGGCAAATGGAATTATGCTTAAGTCGCGTTATGGGAAGACTGGGCGTGAGGCCGTCAGAACTGTTCATACAGCAGGCTCAAAAAGCTTTGCTCGAAGAAGACATTTATATGTATGATATTTCATTGTTAAAAAAGTAAAGGTTCTCCAACTTATATAAATAGTCTTGTTTTTAAAACTGATTGTAGTTTAAGCAATATAAAAAATAGCCCGGATGACTTCAATTCTATTTGGAAACTCGTGAAAGAAAGGATGGCAACTTTGTTGGTTCATCTACCCAAAAGTTTGTGGAATTGTCTATAATTTAAGTTATTTCCTTTTTCTTCAAGTGTTTGAAGAAATTATATCCTTATTACTCCTTTTCTTTTTTCTGTTTTCTTTTTGTGCTCGTGCACTTCGGTGTTGGAAGGACGCATGGGGACAACACTATGTGAAGGAAGTTCTGAAATTCAATCTGAATTATTCAATAAAATTAGGGGTTCGGAGTGCTTTGGTAGGTGTCACCCAAAGTCAAATTGTATGGGAAAGAAGCACAATTCAGAAAAATGCATCAACAAGTACAAGAAACAAACGAAGAGGTGCATAAACTACACGATGAAATACAAGTAATCCGAGAAGAACATGCTAAAGAAATAAAAACAATGAGAGTAACAAGCTGTGCAATTGCAAGCAAATGCTAAGGAGATTCAAGACCTATTTGTCAATATGTTGAATTTGATGTGTTGCTGCTAGGGCTATTTGTCAATATGTTGAATGCGATAATTCAAGGAGGCATATATTGTCTGCAATCTTTCGCTAGTGGGCGGTAATGGAGATGATTTAACACAGTGCATTGGCTATAGAAATGTATCCACAGGCCTTGTGCTATTCTAAATCTATTCTGTGGTTGTCTTAACTTTTCTCCAAGTCGCCTGAACCCTTGCTCATGTTTCGAGAGAGTGCATCAAACTAGCTACTTAATCGGAACCTTTTTCATTCCTCATGACAATGAACACTCAAGTATGAAACTTTTTTTGTAATGGCAGTTGTAACAGCTTCAAACATATTATTCCGACCTCCTTTCGGAGAAAATGAAACTGTTTATAATGGATCATTCATGTTTGTCTTCTCCTTTGTTTGTAACGGCAGTGCTGAACTAATCTGTGTGTATTTTCAATGTACATGAATCAAATTTATGATCCAAACTCTAAAGACTATGATCACCGAGCTCCACTTCATGTGGCTGCTTCAGAAGATTGAGATGATCAAGGCACCTTGGCAAAACCAGTGGGATCTATGTCTTTATCCATAATAGTGGATTTTAGAACTTGAATTCATAATTTATGGAACTCTCCCATTCTATACAATTTTAAGGAGGCACTGACTAATTTATTTATCAGTCACACTGATTGATACACTTCAGGCTGGTGGCCCTCTAATGCACCACTCAGGCACTCCTCAGTGTGAAACTTTTTTTGTAATGGCAGTTGTAACAGCTTCAAACATATTATTCCGAGCTCCTTTCGGAGAAAAAAGACCATACTTTTTAACACTATTGTTTGAGACTATTCAAGCCAATCTTCTTTAGCTCTGGAAATGCATGTATGGTATCTGCATCAAAGCCACCTACGAACTGACTGTTTTAATGGTTAATAAGACAGATAAAACCTCAAGATTGAGCTCAAGGGAGGGAGTTCAATGAACACGTGGTGTACAGGGTAGGCAAATCTATCCCCTTGAAGCAGGAGATTCTCTTCTCCTGAGCATTCATTAAGCTGCAGTTCTTTAGTTATCCTTTTCAAGTAATCTTTGGCCAGCCTCAAAGAACTTAATTTCATCTGCTAAGATTGTCAAGACTGTTAGTCGGAGCCGTGTCTAGTTTTTGTTTGGGATCCATTCTGAAGTTGTTTTCTTGATAGTGTTTGTGTGAAAATGTTGGCAGATGTTTTAGATGTAGAAAACCTTTGCTTTGAGTTCTTCAAGATTAAGCCATTATGAGATGCAATATGCAAAATCTAGAAAATGCAGTGGTGGGGCATCAAATTTTCCACTGGCCACAAAAAATTTTCTATCATTTGAAATTTCACTTAGGAGAAACCATTTTTTTTCTGTTATGTTATCTCACTTAGTCAATACTGGAGATATAACCGAAGAGACCTACTATTTACCAAAAAATAATTTATGGTAGTCAAATAAAAGTTTTTATTAAAGATTATAAATAGATATGAGTTCGAATAATAGTTCAAAATGTTTCTTCATAATTTAGCCTCATTCATTTTATTCTTCCTCGCATGTTAGGGCTGGTAAAAAAAAAAAAATTGTAATTTGCACTTCAGCGGAATATTATTTGACATGCTTAGTTGCTTACTGTTTAGATTAATGTTATTCCTAGAGATACTTGTGCTATCTCCTGCTTTGCAATAGAGCTAGAGCTTAATTAGAAGCACGAAAGGTTTATATCTTCTTTTGTGGCAAAACTACTAACCTAATTTCATGCCTTCTTCAATGTTAACAGTGATCTGGGGTTTGCTTGAAGCCATTTTTGCAGTGAACATGAACCCACCATCGAAGCTCACAGGGTCTTAGAAAGCGTTTGAGGCAAGTCGTGAGTGCAACAACTACAATGATAAGGGTTCACCGGTTGTATTGACGTCAACAAAGATTTCATCGGTTGCATTGGAGTTGATGGTACTAGGGCGAGGGAAACAACCTAGTCATGGAAAGAAATTATGGGGTAGATGGAGAAGGTGGCATTATCCACTCCCTATAAAAAAATATACCTGTGCCTTAGATCTTAATTAGATTAACAACGTTATGTCAGACAATGCTGTAATGATCGAGAGAATCCCGAAGCGGTTGATATTTGAGTAGAAGTTAAACGAGAGAACAAAAATAGCAAAGAAAATAGGAGAATGATTCAAAGTTTGACCGTAAAAACGACCAGCTAAGCACAATCCATTTTGTTATAGTTGATCTGCAAAATTCATGTCATGAAAGCTCAACTTGCATTCATCCAAATTTAATGCCCCTTCATTTCACGCTTTCTACTGCATCAATTTCTAACAATTATGAGATGAAAGTCCTGAATTGCTGCCATGTGACATCTAATTCAACGTTCCAGCTCATTCCATTACGTGCTGGAGGTCAATGACCCAGTAAACCAAATGAAACAATCAATCAATTAGAAAAAGTTTCAATCTGCCCGAATAGAAAAATGCATGACCAAGACCAAGTTATTCCACCAGAAATCAACTGGACTCGTGTCTGTCACGATTCCTCAGAATGAATTAGCCAAGTCACCAGCTTCATCAACAAGCCAATACTGTATATTCTGAGCAACTGGAAGCTTTTAGATTAAAATATTAGCAGTTAACATAACCAAAGATTTTAGACATCGCCAGAGAGGAGGGTAAGACAGATGGAGGTTTCATACTACTGTAGCATTCCAGTCCACAGAAATATAAAATATTCCTCAATTCTTAGACAGCCTCAGATAAACACTAAATGAAAGAAATCAACAATTCTATTAAAAGCATTGTGACTCCATTTCTGGGTTATCAACGAAGGTATAGCAGCAAACCGATATTACATTCAAGGAGTCCAGCCCATTCCATTGCCTGCTAGAGGTCAATGACAGAGCAAACCAGACGAATCAATCACACAATTGGAAAAATTTCAAGCAGCCAGAGTACAAAATGTATGACCAAGTTTAAGTTATTCCACTTAACATCAACTTGACTCATGCCCAGCATGAAATGGATTAGCAAAGGCACCAGCTTCATTTAAAGAGCCAACACTTAACATTCTGAACAACTGAAAGTATCTCAAGATTAAAATCTCAGTAGTTAACATGTCCAAAGATTTCAGACATAGCCAGAGAGGTGTTTTGGAAACATGAAGGTTTCATAATACTCTAGCATTCCAGCCAACAGAATAATTCCTCAATCCAAGTATTCATAAAACCTTAGACAGCCTCAGATTAAAAAAAAAAAAAAAGGAGCAGTTCTATCAAATCACTGAATTGACAAACCCTACAGTAAAGAAGACAATTCAGACATTCACAAAAATAGCCTCTTGAAGCACACATTGAAAGGTAGAGATAACAGTCGTTATATGGGCTTGATTTTGAAGTGAAGGGAGATGAGAGAGAAAACGAAGCACTTCAAGTCCTGCAACCACATAAACACAAATAAGAATACCAGAAACAATAAAAATGAAAAGTTGGTGACTAGAGAAGAAATGGGAAACTAGCACCACCATTAACAAGCACATCTAAAGTAAAATATGAAAAATAAAAAAGTTTCTGGAATTTTGAAAATAAGAATCATGCTTTGCCATTAATATTCTGCAATGTCCAAATTAACCCTGTCACCCTTCCCCAAGAAATTAGTGACTGTACAGGAACAGTCTGTCTTTCTCTCAAAATCAATTCACCAGCCATCGGACCTTAAGCTTTGGACTCCTGAAACTAGCCACTCTAAAAATCCCTCTAGCTGCACACAGCACTTAAAATCCTTGCTTTTGCATTTATCTTTCCAACAGAACTATTGTGCCTTCTTGCCAAAGGCAGGAATCCCAGGTAACAAAGAACACAAATATAAGATCCGGACAAGCGAGTTCACAACCCCACAACTACCACTATGAAAAAATAAGTTTACCCAATGGATAAACTGTTTCCAAAACCTTTATTTACTTGCTTAATACACAGACTTAGAGAATGTATTTTTCTGGAAAAAGTTTTAATGGATAATCATATTAATCATTCTATTCCACAATGCAGCATGCACATAAAACCACAACTTGTAAACTAAGGTTTTCATAAAAACAAATGCAGTTCGAACTCATTATGATATACAAGGCTCATGATGCAAATGTATAATTTTCTTCTTCAGGCAAGCAATATCGCCTGCTTTCTCAGTATTGCCCCTATTTAACAACAACATATCAACATGTTAACAAGGCAACTTGCAATTCAAGAACGAGCACATTTGAAAGTAACCCACAATTAGAATCCTTTAACAGAAAATGCAATGACCTAATTGTACTAAGACAAAGTACTGTTCAAAACAAAGTATTAATGCACAAACAATGACTGTGAGAAAGCTTTAACTTCTACATTCAAAGAGATATTCATGCTTATAACCAAAATAATTCATAAAAGGAAAGCATGCAAGAAACCAACAAATTAGTTGGAATTACCTGAACAAGATAATAGAAAATGCGAAGCCCTTCAGGATCCTGGCTACTGTGAACATCAACAAGTGATCCAATCTTCGACGTAGTAAACGAAATATGCTCATTCCCCATCACAATCTCCAGCTCTTGCCTCCCAACCCGGTCCGGTTCTGGCCAGTTGTTGTCATCTTCCTTCATAATCTAAAGAAACCAATCATTTTAAACATATGAAAGAACCAAATCTAATCCACAAAGGAATTAGAATTCAGAACTAATTTTCTAGCTCTAATACGTGAAAAGTCATCAAAGCAGTAAAAAAAAGAGTTCGCTTAATAAAATGCAAGCAAAATGAAAATTGATTTTTACTAAAATCAAAAGCATAACTTAATTAGTTAAAGGCCACGCAAACCAAAACCCTAGGCTCCATCAGCGTTTACTCATAACCTCGAAACAAATATCTTAAGCTAAAATCCAAACTTTGAAGAGTTAAAAAATGTTCTAATTATAAATCTAATAAAGCAATTACATTACAACTGCTGCATTTTATGATAAATTTTCGGCAAAAAGATATGATTACTACCAAGTAATCGCGCTACACCTGGGACTAATAAACATCTTAAACAGCATTCAATTCCATCACATACAAGTATATCATCAGCTTTAGAAAAATAAAATATCTAACAAACAAACAGAAAAATATTTACAGCAATGGCATGATTGTAAATTTTGTAACTAATATAACCGAAAAAAATAGACAAAAACCCTAAGCGAAACAAGAGATGTAAAAAGTTAAGAGAGAGAGAGAGAGAGAGAGGGAGGGAGGAGTACTTCGCTCTCGGATATGATGCGGCGGCACTCTTTGAGGACGGCGGCGGTAAGGAAGACTTCTTTACGAATCATGGTGTCGTTTTTGTAGTTAGAGTTGTTTGCGTACCGGAGTTTGCCATCTGGCCGGAACTCGAATTCCAAGAACTCGTGACCGAATTTGCCTCTATGACCTACATAATAACGAAGGTAGAACTCTCCGTTATCTTCCTCCATCGCGGCCATTGCTTCGTTTTCTTTTCTCTTCCTTTCTCTCTTTTCTTATTTGTGCTGTTATATATTATTTATTAATGAAGACGAGGATAAAATCGCAACCAGGGTTCCAGGTTTTTCTATCTGCTGGAAACCGACTTTTAAAGCCCAAAGCTTATGGATTTTAATGGGCTCGGCCCACGTGCTTTGCTCATTGAGTATTTCTCCATCATCAGGCTAATTCAAGAAATAATGTGGGAAGCAAATCCATGAATCAGCTGAGTCCGAGCTTCAAAGATTTGTTTCGTCTATCTTATTATTTTCTCCTTTATATTTCATTAAGGCTTACCTAATTTTATTTATCTCCTTTACATTTCATTAAGGCTTACTTAATTTTATTTATAAAAAAACGTTTCTGATATTTTTTTAAGAAAATAATTTTTTACTCCTTAATTAACAATACAAGTCTATAGTTATTATTTCTCATTTTCTCTCTCTCTCTCTTTTTTTTTTTTTTTTTGTTATTTATTTATTTATAGATAGTAAAGTATTTTCTAACCAGAACACATTAATTTTTGGTTTAGGAAGCACAGATTTGAATTCAAGGATTTTAAGAAGGGAATGTAAGTTTTATGGATGCTTTTGCTATGGCTTTAGAAGAATGTGGTTTGCAAGGCTTGGGTTTCATGGAGAACTGATATACACGGACGAATGGTCAGCGTGGCAATGGGAATGTTCAGGATAGACTTGATAAGTGTGTTGTTGGCAAATCATGGAGAGTGGTTTTCCCTACTGCTTCAATTACAAATCTTCCTCGATATGGTTTTGATCATTGTCCCTTGCGGCAATGCTTTGACAGAACCTCTTCCTAAGATTCTAAAAAGCAGAGGGTCTTTTGTTTCTAGTCAATGTTGTTGCGTGATCAGGGGTGTAGGGAGACGGTCTCAAGATGTTGGGGCAATATGTCCCTGATGTCTGATGTCTCTTTCCCGGCTAGAAATGAAAAGCATATGGAGGAATTAACAGCCTGCAGTAAATCTCATTTTGGTCATGTAAATAAATCCTTGAACGAATTGAGAAAGAGCTTGATGTTTATCAGAAAGCAAAGCCAAGAGAGGAGAACTTGCAGATAGTGCAGAGCTTACTGGAAGAGCTGGATGGGGTATTGAAAAGGGAGGAATTGATGTGGTCTTAGAGGGTAGAGCTTCATGGTTGGGGGAGGGTGATAAGAACACACTTTATTTTCACTGGAATGCTTCTTAGAGACGAAGAGGGAATCGCATTGGGATGGTAAAAGATGATGATGGGATTGTTTTTCGATGAATGAAGGGTATTGAAAGGATCTTCAACTCTTTTTACTGAGATTTATTTTACACCATCCAATCCTACTTCAATCTCGACTACTGATGCCGTGGGACCACATGTGTCTATTGAGATGAACTTGCTACTAAAACAAAAGTGTTATAGGGATGAGGTTTGGATAACTTTGAAACCGACGCATCCTGCTAAATCTCTGAGACCAGATGGTATGCCTGCACTATTCTATCATTTTTTTTTTTTTGAGCTTAATTGGTAATGATATATGTGTTTTTTTCCTTGATATTCTGAACAATGGGGCTCATCCTTCCTCTATTAACCATTTACATATATGCCAAATTCCCCAGGTAAATGGTCCAGAATATTGCAGCCAATACAAACCTATTAATCTTAGAAATGTTGTTTTTAAACTAGTTAATAAGGATATTGCTAATAGGTTGAAGTTGATCCTCTTAGACATTATTGGTGAAAATCAAAGTGCTTTTGTTCCGGAGAGACTAATCACTGATAATGCTTTGATAGTTTTTGAAGCTTTCCGCAGCATGAAACTAAAAAGGAGAGGGAAACTGGTTGTCTCAGGTTGAAGCTTGATACGATCTGTAAGGCTTACGATAAGGTAGAGTGGGGTTTTTTGAGTGCTATTATGGATAAACTTGGCTTTAATAATTCTTTTGAGGAACTGATAATCAGATGTGTCTCAACTGCATCTTACTCAGTTTTGATTAATGGATGCGCTGGGAGCCTTTTATTCCTACAAGGGGTCTTAAGCAAGGAGATCCCCTTTCACCCTATTTGTTTTTGCTTTGTGCAGAAGGTTTTTCAGCCCTACTGAGGAAGCTGCAGACAAGGGTTCAATTTCAGACATTTGGGTTTGCAGGGAAGCTCCTCTTATTACTCATCTATTTTAGCATATGTTACAGTACAGGAAGCACAAGCGCTATCTGATATACTTTCGAACTATGACCCAGCTTCTGGACAGAAGGTAAACTTGGATATATCTGAACGTTCTTTTAGTCGGAATGTGCGTGAGGAGGTTAGAAATACAATCCAGACTCAGAGGGGGTAAAGACTGTTGAGACCCATGAGAAGTATCTGGGGTTTCCAGCTGTGGTTGGGAGATCGAAGAAAGTGATCTTTTGACTCCATTCAGGATAGAATTTGGAAGAAATTGAGTCGATTGAAAGAGAAGATATCTAAAGCAGGAAAGGAATTGCTCATCAAAGCTGTGGTCCAAGAAATTCCAACTTTTCTAGCGAGTTGCTTTAGCATCCCTACTGGTCTATGCAATGAGATACGTGCATTAATTCGTAGATTCTGGGTGGGGCTCTAATCCACAGAAGAATAAGATTTGTTGACTGGCTTGGGACGGTATATGCAAGAGCAAGTTTGAGGGCGGCTTAGGTTTTCGTAACACTCAATCTTTTCACCGTGCACTCCTAGCTAAACAGGCCTGACGTCTCCATCAATGCCCTGACTCCTAGCTAGGCAGAATTTTTAAAGCACGTTACTTTCCTCATTTTGATTTCATGCATGTATCCATAGGCAGGAATCCAAGTTACAGATGGTGCTACCTCCTAGATGAGAGGACTCTTTTATAGAAAGGCACAAGATGGTTGATATGAAATGGCTCGAAGGTACATGTATAGATGGTTGATTGATCAGAATGGGTTTCGTGTTTTATCACCTATAGAAAATTTAGCTAGTTCTATTGACAACTTATTGATGAGGATACTGAATCATGGAAACAAAACCTGATTGAAAACACTTTTATCTTTTCGAATCACAACAGTTTTGCTTCATCCCTCTTAGTTGGAGACTGCCTAAAGAAAAATTGGTGTGGCACTATTCTAGGGATGAAAAATACACTGTGAATAGTGGCTACCATCTGGACGTCAGTTTTGAGAGGGAAACTAGTGGTATATCCAATCATGTTGCTTCCAATGAGAATAGAAGCTGGTCAAAATTGCTGTGGAGATTAGATATTCCTCCTAAAGTTTGAAATTTTGTATGGAGAGCATGTAAGGAGGCACTCCCCATTCCCCATCGTGCTAATCTGGGAAAGAGAATCCTTGTACCATATATCTCTTGTGAAGTCGTAACCGTGATCTAGAAAACTCTCTATACTTTAAAAGACTGTTGGTGGGCTAAGGGTAATTAGTTTCTATCACCACTGTCTTTGCATAGCGAGGGTATGGCTCACTCTTCCCTTTTCCGATTGATTAGAAAAGTGCAGAAGAAGCTAGACAAGGAGTTGATGGAAACTTTTTGGGTTTTATTTTGGGCTATATGGAACTCTAGAAATGACTTAATCTTCAGAGGTCAGAAAGGGGATCCTTCTTTTGCTATTCAATCAACGATAACTTTACTCCAAGAGTATAAAGCAGAAAATGTGATGCCACCAAGAGCGGAGAATGGAGATAGCAGAACTGAACAATCCATAATTTAGGAGTCACCTCCAACTCAGCACGTTATGAAAATAAATTCAGATGCAGCCCTTAATGATTCAGGTATGGGATTTGGAACTATTATTCGTAATACTGTGGTGAGGTTATGCTAGCTGCTGCGGCATATGTTTTAAATCCTACGTCCCCAAAACTTGCAGAAGCTTCAGTTGCTCGTCACAATATGCAGTTGTCGGAGACCATGTCCTATAGGAAAGTAACTCTGGAACTGGATTGTGCAATGGTGGTCACAGCCGTGAGTGGTACTTATAGCTCTCCGAATTTTTTGGGTTCTATTTCAGAGGATATAAAACTATTATAAGGTAATTTTGAATCTTTTGGTTGCTCTCAGACAAGGAGAGAAGGCAACAAGGCAGCGCACTCTCTTAGTAAATTAGTTTTGCTTATCTGTTGTGGGCAGGTGTTAATTGCAGAAATCCCATCTGAAATTTCCACTATTGTAAGCACTCGGTTCATTTCTTGAATAAAGTTTGAACTTTCAATAAACAAAAACTGGGGGTGGTGGGGGTTGGGAGTAAAAGCTTTATTGGCATACAATCAAAGTATTTTTCTGTTTTTTAACTTGTATTCTCTCATTTCATCTGGAGCTCTTTATTTTTACAATCATCTGGGGATTTTAATTTGGGTCTGTAGAAAAGAAAATAATTTGGGCCATATATATCTGTACCTAGCTAATTCATTTGAAAAATTGCACTTCACAGGTCAGAGCAATGGATGCAATCATTTGACAGTTGTGTTGGTCCAATTGTTATGCTTTATCACAAGGTCTAACTCAGCAAGATAATTATTTAATTAGTAGAACATGGCCTTAGGATACATGCCAATCGCCAAGCATAACATATGCAAACATATATTTCCAATCACCTCAGAATTGTCTAGCAAATGATTCTTGCTAAAAGAAACATGCATAATTTGTTGCATACACAAATTGGATCTTATAAATAAAATTCAATTATTCAATAACTTCGTATAAACAGAAAATTTTACATCCCTCATCCAATAAAAATTAGAAAAACACAACTACAACCCAATAATAACAAGAGCAACAACAATAATATAGCACTGCCTCTTCTCTAGCCCATCAACGCAACAGTTGTTCCTAATGCAAGCAAGACACCAAGCATCATGTTATAAAAAATGCTGGTGGCTCCACTAGGCTTTGGTGGTGGTGGTGTGACCGGGGTTGATGGGGTGGTAGGTGGCGAGTCAGATGGAGTTGATGGAGTAGTTGAACCGCCGTCGGATGGAGAGGTAGGTGTGGTGGGGGTACTTGGGGTGCCACTGGCTGCCACAACATTGACTGCTAGCTTCATTCCACTACCACAATGACCAAGTGTAGAACAAATGAAATACATTGCCCCAACCTTGGACAAGGGTACTGTTGAGCTTCCATCAGAATAGGTTTTCCCGAGATTGCTTGTGCTGCAACTATCGTAGTCGGCTTTCGATACTTCAGCCACTGTGTGTGTGGAGCTATCGTAATTGAACACTGAATTTTTTCCAAGATTAAAATGTTAGTTAATTAATTAATTTGTTTAGATCATAAAAAAAAAAAAAAAAAATCTTATGCAATGTTGAGTCACTAAATGTTGTACACAATATTCATAATTAACCAACAAGGATTTAACTTACCAAGAGAATCACCAACTGTAAATGTTTTACCAGAAGCCCAAGTGGTGTAATCCCCGAACGTGTTCCAGCCCGACGTGTCACCAACAGTGTACGTTGTAGCAGCAAATGCTGCTGGAGCGGCAAGCAGAAGAATTAGGAGAGCAGATGCAATATTGGCCATGTCTGAAAACCTTAACAAAATTTAGAAAACAGGGGGAGTTAGTGGCTATCTGGAAAGGTGGCAGACGGGCTTTAATCTTATATAGGCCGCTAGAGGTATATTTATTAAGGAAGAAATTATTTTATTGAAAGAAGTTTTCTCCTAACACCCATATAATTGTTACATGTAACTAACTTCCTTGTCTGTAATCAAAAGCATATAATAGTATAGTGGTTGAATTAACAATTCTTCTTCCCCTCGTCTGTCTACCTAATGCTTTGATAACTTTAGCTTATGTAAAGCTGACTTGCCTGGGGCTTACAGGGTTTTGGCTCCCTGGTTCTAATTGAATGGCTAGGCAATTTATTTTTTATGTCGTGGGAGTTATCTAAAAGTTGATTGGAGACTTCATAAGATGATTTCCTAGCTGTGTTTATTCGATTTTTTCTTCTGTCCTGTCAAAAAAAAGAAAAGAAAAGAAAAGAAAGTCCATAAATTGCGTTCCCAGGTCACAGCCTGTGTTAAATGTGCAATTGCAAATTATAGCTTCAGTCCAAGAGAATAACAATAGGATAAATGGATAAAACTTCTTTTCAACTTTAATCTATTTAAAAATCACTTTTTGAACTTTTAATTTTGATTTTGACCTCCTCTAAATTTTATTCTTTTTTAGATTTATTCTATACTTTAGTTTTTTTAAAAAAAAATAATGATAATATAAATAGTCTTGTGATAAAAATCATTTAATAATATTTATACGAGGATCTCAAAAAAATTTAGAATCATTCCAGATTATTTTATTTTTTTCAATTTTCTATATTTTTAATAATAAGAAAATAAAACGATATATTTTTCGATCTTGAAAAATTATAGATTTTTTTCCAGAAAATGTATTGGATGTTTTCTAGCATGTCTACAAAAATTCAACTCAAAATATTAAGTATTGAAATTTTTAAAAGAGCATGATAGCTAGAGATTGAGTAAATCTCAAAAAAAAAAAAAAAAAAAAAAATCAATAGAAATCAAATTAAAAATTCAGAAACTAATTTTCAACTTTAATAATATAAAAATGTTTTCATGGAATAATTTAATATCACATATATTTATTCAAATCATGACAAAACTCAAACAGTAAATTGTGTTAAAAAGATTTGTTCTCTTTATCGTTTTTTAAAATTTGAACTTTGAGAGTACTAATATTTAAGAGAATTTTTCTATATAAAAAAACTATTGTAAAATACACATCACTAAAATCCTTCAGGAAAGAAATGATCTCTTAATTCGCAACTGATCCAAAAATATCGTGACAGTTAAGAAGAAGGGAAAAAAAATGAAAGCCACCATGACCTGACCATTATCCTATGCATCAAGACTATAAGAAAGCCAACCTGGCCATTTCAGTTTGCCATAGCCCACGTTGAAAGGAATATAGAAGAACCTTCCAAAAAATTGTCTTTTATATGTAATCATTATTCTATCAATGCCACCTACTACATTGATAAGAAATATCAGGATGTAGAGATTAGTTTGGCATAATCCCACCTTTCTCTCATCTTCACAGATTGAAATTGTGCTTTAATTAGTTATCTCATGAAAATGATTGTCGCGTATGCGTTCATGTCTTGACTTTGAATTTGTGAGTTGTTAGCTGGGTTGTTAAGGCATGAAATAATTTATTGATGTGCCAAGATTGGGTGCTTTTTATACCTCTAAACAAAAGAGATCGTGATAATTTGCTTGGAATTGTTAAATTGTAGCCAACCCAAAGTAGCGTAGTGCAAGAAAAACAATCCACATTGGTGGACCAAGAATGCGTGTATTGTCAATAATTAACTACTCCTTTAGAATCTTACCTAATCGTGTAAATTAATCTCAAAATAAGGACTAGTAATTTGTTGTACTTCCCCTTTAGTCCTCATGTTTTTAACCTTTTCATATAGGTCCCAAAAGGCATTAACTGTCCCCGTAATTTTTTTTGTTATTTCTTGCGTCTAAACAATTTACCCTCCTTCTAAATCAATTTCGAGTTTCCCCACTGTTCCCTAAGTATGCTTCATCACAAATCAAAATAGAACGAACATATGTCCATCGTCTTTCTTTCATTGTATGTATTGAAAAAGGAAAAAGTGAGGTTGTCATGTGGAAAAGTTATATTAGGTTATCATATGAAATGGAATGTAACTTTTTTTTTTTTTTTGCCAACTAAACCAATACTTGATTTGTGAAAATTTCTTTTTTATACATAAAATTTTAATAGCCATAATATAAAGGAGTGTTTATTTATTTATTTGTGTACATAGAAAGAGTGCATTAGGAGAGAGAAATTGATGAATTTCCTTTTCAATTTAAACCTTCGAGTGAAATTTCTTCTAAAGGTTAAGATGTAAATTGTATACTTTTTGCTAAATGTAAATCGAGAAAAAAAAAAAAAAAGGTAACAAAAATGTATCAAGCCAACTAATCTCAAGGTGTCTTAAATTATTGAAAATTTTATTTATGACACATGAATTAGATTGGACTTTTATTTACATCCTCGTTGTATTTCAATTAAGCCCTTCATTAATGGAAATGTTAAAAAAAAAAATCAATGTTTAATGATCTAAAGGCACGTGTATTTGTGCCTTCTTTTCTTATATATTTCAATATATGAAAAGAAAATTGTAGGTACAAATCTTGAACAAAGATGACAATTTCACTCAATTCGTTGAATACTCGGTATCATTTGATCTGATTGAATCGGATTATTATCCTAAGTCAAATCGAAGACGTCTAAAATTTGATTCAATTTGATGGGAAATAGATCCCTCACTTGTCCTATCGCCCGACCTGCCTCCAGCTCAATTTTTTAACTTTTTTATTTTTTATTTTATAAAGTTGTAATTTTATTTTTTCAATGGAATGTATAGATTTTTATCTTATGATTCATAAAGAATTTTATGGTCCTATACATAGATTTGAAGTTTGAATTTTAATTTATAGTTTTATGTTTCATAGATGGAGATGATGTTAGTTTTTTAAGATTATATTTTGTTTTTATAAATATATTTAAAAAAAAAAAAAAACTCAAATTGGGTACCCATCGAGTGGAAGAAGTCATCAATGTAACCCAATTTGACTCGGTTGGAGACGGAGACGAATGATGGATTTGAATATTTTGGGTCGGTTATAAACAATTGGTATGAAATTTGGCTTTAAGTCGATCCATCGCCACCCCTACTCTCGAAGAAGATGAATAAAAGAAAATTATTGTCGAGTTCAAATCCTAACAAAATTGCTAAGAGCTTTGGGTGTGTGAGTTAAAAAAAAATTATTACAATAAATGTTAATTGCATAAAAGGACTCAAAAAATTGATATTTAAATCATAAAAAATATGTATAATTTATATTTAAATCATAAAAAATATGTATAATTTAATATTTCATATATGATTAACTTAACATTCAAAATTTAATCATGATAATAAATAATTTAATGTTTGCATTATCGAAACTAATCTCAATGACACGAGTAGCCATCTACTAGTTTTTTTTTTTTCTTAATGGTATTTTCTAAGCACCCGACTCGCCTCGACTCAATTTTTTAAGTTTTTAACTTTTTTATTTTATAAATTTGTAATTTTATTTTTTCAATGGAATGTATAGATTTTTATCTTATGATTCATAAAGAATTTTATGGTTCCATACATAGATTTGAAGTTTGAATTATAATATATAGTTTTATGTTTCATAGATGGAGATGTAGTTAGTTTTTTAAGATTATATTTTGTTTTTATAAATAGGATTTTAAAAAAAAAAACTCAAATTGGGTACCCATCGAGTGGAAAAAGTCATCAATGTAACCCGATCCGACTCGGTTGGAGATGAAGACGAATGATAGATTTGGATATTTTGAGTCAATAAAAAACAATTGTCATGAAATTTGGCTCCAAGTCAATCCATCGCTACCCTTACTCTCAAAGAAGACAAATAAAAGAAAATTATTGTCGGGTTCAAATCCTAATAGAACTCGCTAAGAGCTTTGGGTGTATGAGTTAAAAAAAATTATTGCAATAAATGTTAATTACATAAAAGGACTTGAAACCCGATATTTAACTCATAAAAAATATGTATAATTTAATATTTCATACATGATTAACTTAACATTCAAAATTTAATCATGATAGTAAATAATTTAACGTTTGCATTATCGAAACTAATCCCAATAACACGAGTATCCATCTACTAGTTTTTTTTTTAATGGTATTTTCTAAGCACCCGACCCGCCTCCAACTCAATTTTTTAACTCTTTAACGTTTTTATTTTATAAAGTTATAATTTTATTTTTTCAATGGAATGTATAGATTTTTATCTTATGATTCATGAAGAATTTTATGGTTCCATACATAGATTTGAAGTTTGAATTATAATTTATAGTTTTTTAAGATTATATTTTGTTTTTATAAATAGATCTTGTTTATATATATATAAAAAAAAAAAAAAAAAAACTCAAATTCGGCACCCATCAAGTGAAAAAAATCATCAATGTAACCTGATTTGACTCGGTTGGAGATGGAGACGAATGATGGATTTGGATATTTTGAGTAAGTAAAAAACAATTGGTATGAAATTTAGCTTCAAGTCGATCCATTGCCACCTCTACTTTCGAAGAAGGTAAACAAAAGAAAATTTATTTTCGGATTCAAATCCTAACAAAAATGCTAAGAGCTTTGGGTGTGAGTTAAAAAAAATTATTACAATAAATGTTAATTACATAAAAGGACTTAAAAAACTGTTATTTAAATCATAAAAAATATGTATAATTTAATATTTCAGATATGATTAACTTAACATTCAAAATTTAATCATGATAAAAAATAATTTAACGTTTGCATTATCGAAACTAATCTCAATAACACGGTAGCCATCTACTAGTTTTTTTTTTAATGATATTTTCTAAGCATCAGTTTTCAAGATTATGAAGCTGGACAGTTAGTATAGTGCACTAGATACGCTATTAGAATCTTCAATGTGCAGACCAAACAATTCGTCAGAAGAGTAGAAATTAATTGGTAGGCAATGGGCATGTATTTTGAAATTTCAATAACTAGTTCAGCAGTTTGTCATGTTCAGCTTAGGTTACTATAAATGATGATCGTAAATCCAACAAGACTTTTATGTTAGGGATTTTTACTGTAATTACTAGAAATATAATTGATCTGTATTTTGAAATTTTCAATTACTAGGCCAGCATTTTGTCATGTTCAACTTGAGTTCCTATAAACGATGATGGTAAATCCAACAAGACTTCTATGTTAGGAGACGTTTTGGTATGCGGTTTAGTTGTTTTATTGGAATGTGATTTTTGGAAATATAATTGTTGAAAATGTGTTTTTGGTATTTAGTTGAAAATGAAAATTTCTACGCAACCACTCGCATTTCAACTATTGTAGCAAGATCATACACGACTTCGGCTAAAGCATGTGTTCGTCATGTACTACGTTATACTACGCGCCTGAAAAATATGATTATGTGACCTGGCTAATACTGCACAAAATGGGTACATTGCCCCATTACATTTCTTGATCCGACATGTCTTATAAGCAATTTATTGGAAGTATGTAGCCAATTGTATAAATAGTTAGTTAATTAGACATGTGTAGATTAAGTTGAGATGTACAGAATAATAGCTCATACATGTATATATATATTGAATGTATATGTGTACAGGAGATATATTGAATATAAGTGAACTTTCCCAAATTTCCTTCTGCTATTCAAAAGTTTCGAGGTCTGTAGTGTGCGTGGCAAATTTACAGACTGGGGTAACGAATCGAAAATGGCATCTTGCCACCCATTTCTGCGACCATATGCAGTTCGCCAACAGAAGAACTACGGGCTATTTGGCAACCAAGAAATCTCTTCTCCAAATCCTTAGTTTAGGATATAAACACCAAAAGTTAAGGAATCGTTTTGTATGATTTGCAATTTTCATTTTCTGTTTATGTTTTAAAACAGAAACATAAAATTAAATCGTTCTGAAATTCTTTATTGTAAAAATACAAAATCAACAGTCACAATTTTGAAAAATCACTTTATTTTTTTGAATTTTTTTTTTTTTACAATTGATTGTTGATTTTTCACTTTTTTTTTAAAAAAAAAGAAAAATATTTACAATTGATTGTTGATTTTTCACTTTTTTTTTAAAAAAAAGAAAAATAATCTTTCTGTTTATAGTTTCAAAATTCCTTTTTAAAAATATAAAATTAAAATGACGCCAAACGGGTTAAATTTTTCATCCCTGCTGCCGCTTTTTCAAATACAACATGCATTGCGTGCTTCCAAAACATGATAGTATGCGGATGTTTGTAAATTTTTCAAGCAGCCTGTGAGGAGTACAGTTCTACGTGGCAAGATATAGTGAGCCATTGATCACATTGAATTTGTATCGCTTTTTTTAAAAAAGAAAAAGAAGAAGAAGAATATCATTTTTGTACAAAAATTTCAATACTTAGGTACTTTATCATGTAATTAATTGACTGATGTATTTTAAAAAACTAATTCAGTAATTCATGTTCGATTAAAAAAAAAATCTATCATTTCGAATTTGATAATAATATTTTATTTTTATTACTCTTTTTTGTTTTTTTTTTTAAATACCTTTTTAAAATTTTCACAATGGAGTTTTCTCTTTGTGCATGTAAACTTCGGGTTGGAACTAGTTAAGTTTTTTTGTTTGTATTGTGGTACCTGTTTTCTTTCAGGCTAAGCTACCCTTTGAATTTGATACATTTTCTCAGCTGATGCTAGCACCATTCAGCCATAAATATGGGCATGAGATTTTACTGATGATGACCAATTGTAATTTCTAAAAGAGGTCAAATTAATTGACACAACTTTTAGATAATCTTCATTTTCATGTTGCATTTTCATAATGCTATTGTAGTTTAAAAAAATTATTAATTGTTACGTTATATTAATATTTTTTATTTATATTTTTTAAAATATTCTTTTTGTTAATACCTGAAAATTCTATAAGACTTGTAAATTTCAAATCCACAAATATTATCCTTGTAATAATTCATCCAACCTTGCATTTGACAGAAGAGTAGTTAATGCTGAACAATATACCATTACCAGGTGATCAAAAAAGTTTATTTTCTCATTAGATTTTCTGAGTTTGAATTTTGAAACCAAATGAAAAAAAAAATTATTTCTTTAAGTACACATGATCGATTTATAATAAATGCATCTCTAAAGTAGTTTTTTTTTTTTTTTAAATAATAATCTCTATTAACACATAAACCAGTAAGAGAGAGAATACCAGGACCTTTACTTTGACAGGAGCTCTTCAGATCACAACGCATATTTTGCGTGCATGACCTAACCCGACAATTTAGAATCCATCACCTGAGGAAAAACTTTCAGATGGTACCATGATAGGACTACTAGGACAAAACTAGAACACGTGCAAGCATGAGCCTTTAAAAATTTTAGCCCATCATCACGGCCTGCAGCTTTCGGCAAAATGTCCGTGAACGTCCCACGGTCTATCCAGAAATTTGGGCCTGCTTGAAGAAACTCGGTACTTGTTGCCAAGCAAAATAGTAAACCCAGACGTTGATTTTGGTTAAGTGAAACTAATGCCCCAACATAATAACCTCTCAAGTTATATGTGTTGAATCGGAGGACATGTAAGCCTGAGTTCATGGAGTTCCCTTTTGGCCGCATTTGTAATCCCCTCCTCCGTCTAGCCAAGCATGGAATAAAATACCACCAGGGAAATGGTTGTGCTCGACGAACCTTGCATCTTGTCGAAGCAATCTAGCATGCCACACATGCAATCATGTTCTTATCAATAAGCACATAAACGGGCGGCAGGACAGCAGGACATGGTACGCAAGCATGGAAAGTTGGAGTCAAAATACAATAGCATTATGAAAATGTAACTTGAAAACGAAGATTATCTAAAAGTTGTGTCAATTAATTTGTCCTCTTTCAGAAATTACAATCGGTCATCATCAATAAAATCTCATGCCCATATTTATGGCTGAATGGTGCTAGCATCAGCTGAGAAAATGTATCAAATCCAAAGGGTAGCTTAACCTGAAAGAAAACAGGTAGCACAATACAAACAAAAAACTTAACTAGTTCAAACCCGAAGTTTACATGCACAAAGAGAAAACTCCCTTTTTTTATGATGACCAATTGTACTAACAGGGGACATTCCGAAGTTAGAACCGAATGCGGCCCCCACACCCCCATTTACCCTCAACAGAAAGTTAGAACCAATAGTATAATTGTAGTTGGGGAAGTTTACTTGTAGTTGTACCCAAAGGATTTTTGGGCCGAGAGGTCCGTATGTCTTGGTTATGAAAAAATCAAAAGAAACATCGAGGCCCGTTAAAATCCAATCAAATTTTAAGATTAGGCCAAGTAATCTAAAAATTTTGAAAGCTGAAGCCCAACTCTATCTGCAGTTTCGTCTTATTTAGAATAATTCCTCTGCCATTAACACTCGCTTTCGCTTCCTTATTTTATTTTCTCGCTGTCGTTGTTTTCTTCTCGCGCTAACCTTCACCGACGACAAATCCGTCGAGAGATTCAACGGCGATTACCTGGCTGGAGAATCATCGGAATTCAGAAGCCTCTCCTTCTATAGTAAATACATCACGACCTGACCATGAATCCAGAATAGTAAGTTATTAATCTAACAATAATCAATCACATTAAACACTTATTAGGGTTTATTTATTCTGATAATCTATTTATTAATTGGATGATGAAACTTGGTTTCAAAACTGTGGAATCAGGAACTGTTGTTATGGATCCATGGATTCTAATGAAATTTTATGTGTTATGATCAACTAATCGGCCTGATTAGGTAAAGATTATGTAAGATTAATTAATAGCATGTAATCGAATATAGCTTTGTTACGTGCTGTGTATCGATTTGATTTGTTTGTACGTGTTTTCCCAATAATAAGTTTGAGCTTTGATGAATGTTTAGGGAGACAAGGAAAAGTACCAAAGCTTTCAGGATGAAAATTATGGCAGGAAATTTTGTAGGGTACATGTTTTAGATGCGTGCAAAAATACCTAGTTGTTGCAAATGTTGCGTGAGTTGATTATTGGAATTGAATTTTCCGATCTTAGTATGTTATGAGATGAGATGAAATGGTGTTGATTTTTCCATTTTCCGTTACCCTTGACGCTTTTGATTGACTATGATCTGCAATGCTGTCAGTAGTGACAATGGCAATGGTACCATTAGGGATTTTGAATTTATACTTCGCTGTCATATAAAGAACAAAAGAAAAAAAGTTTTGTTTTTCGTTTGAAGTTCAAAAGATACCACAGAAATTTATAATATGAAAATTAGCTTGGGTCAACCCCCACCTGCGGATGCTTAAAAAAAAAAAAAACAAAAGAAAAAGGAAGGAAGAGTTTAATCTTCTAAGGCACATTGAAGTTTTCTGGCGCTATTTTACTCTTGCAACCTACATTTTATTAGAGCTTTAATTTCTCTTTCCTTTCTTTTGCAGTGATTATTTGTTTAAGCTCCTTCTCATTGGCGATTCTGGCGTTGGCAAATCTTGCCTTCTTCTGAGATTTGCTGTAGGTCTAAAACTGTTTTTGTAGTGAATATTTGGAATGTTTGTTTATTGCGTTTAGTAGTCTTTATATATGTGATCCTTTCTAGACAAAAATTTTATGCACTGGACATAAGAAACCGACATGTTACAATCATGGAGGAAAATAATATGCCCACACATTGTTTTATTTTTTCTGTAGACACGTGCAATTGATTTTTATTGTTTTCTTTTTGGTTGTATCTCTTACATTTTAGAAATCCATAATTTCTATGATGCAGGATGATTCGTATATTGAGAGTTATATAAGCACCATTGGGGTTGACTTTGTAAGTTAGCAATACTTGGGACTCCATAATGACTTCCATTGGCAAAGTCATAACTAATGTACCATGTTACTGATTTTTTTTTTTCTCCTTTTGCTAGAAAATACGCACTGTGGAGCAAGACGGGAAGACCATTAAACTCCAAATTGTTTGTACTTTGCTCTTTGTGGACATCGAGATTGCCATGTTCTTTATTTATCACAATCATATATTGTTGATAGAGCCTTGGGCTTTATTTTTTTAGCACTTGGCATGACCTTGGTGTAGTTATGCAGTAGCCTATTTAATTGTTTTTGCATTTTGTTTGACATGTAGTGGGATACTGCTGGGCAAGAACGATTTAGAACGATTACCAGCAGCTACTACCGTGGGGCACATGGTATCATAGTGGGTGATCTTTTTCTTCTGTACCTCTTTGTCCTTTGATTTCACCCAGTATTTTTCTCCTTTCAACATATCTCTTTCTGGATGGTTGTTGTAGGTTGTTTATGACGTGACAGACCAAGAGAGCTTCAACAATGTGAAGCAGTGGCTCAATGAAATTGATCGATATGCTAGTGATAATGTGAACAAACTTCTGGTTGGAAACAAGTCTGATCTCACTGCAAACAAAGTTGTGTCATATGAGCAGGCAAAGGTAGTGCTAGTTTGGTTTTTCCTTGTCTAGTGAACTGTTATAAGCTGCATATTGGCATGTGTGTATTTGTGCTGATCATGTTTTTAATATTGAACTCAAATCTTTTTCTTCCTTCCACCTTCTCATCTCCATTTCTTTTTGTCCTTTATAGGCTTTTGCTGATGAGATTGGTATACCTTTCATGGAAACTAGTGCAAAGGATGCCACCAATGTGGAACAAGCTTTCATGGCCATGGCTGCTGCAATCAAGGACAGGTTCTATTCTGTTATTTTCTTATGCAAATATTGAACCCGTCTCTCATCAACCAAAAATAACACCTCCCTTCTTCACATAGAGAAGAAGTTATGTCAGACAAGTCTAGAAGCATAAAGGCTTATTCTCAAGTTTTTCATGCATTTAACTTGCAGATGAAAGAAGTTTTTGAGAAGCAAATGTTGCTCAAGCTGAAGTAATTGTGTTAGTCAGATTTGCTAGCTTTATGAATAAGTCGATAAATGGCTTATCTGCAAGTTTGAACTGTGATCTTGCTAGCAAACCTTTCAAGCCAAAAACCCTCGTGTGGTGATCAAATGGAAATTAAATGCAAGATGATTGGATTTAAATGAACTCTTAATACGTTCAATTTGATCCAAAATACTAGAAAAAATCAGTGAATCAGATAGACTAGTTGATAGGTATTGCTGTGTTGGATGCTTGTTTCTAATCCTTATTTGTGCTCCAATTTAGGTTTGATTATCCCAATTATCAAATCTAGAATCAGTGGAAAGATGTTCAAGAATAGATGAAATTTCTTAATTTGGTGTTCATTGTTGGCTATTTGCGCACTTGCTTGCATCTTTAATGTAGCATGTCTAATGCTTTAAACTACCTATCAATCCAGAATGGCGAGCCAACCAGCCATGAACAATGCAAAACCTTCAACAGTGCAGTTCAGAGGACAGCCTGTCGAACAGAAGGGCGGCTGCTGCTCATCTTGAGCCAAAAGAGTATTGATGAGTTTTCTCTGGCCTTGTCCATTGGCTCAACCATCACTTGTAAGATACCTTCTTTTTTTTTTTCTTTATTCTTATGCACTTAATATCCTATTTGAAGTCTCGAACAATATTGTCAGTTTCTCTTTTTTTACGTTTTTGTTAACTGTTTCAATATCTGTTCTTTAAACACATTTGGGCTTGTACAAAGTAGTAATAGATATTCAAGATTGTTCCTTATTTTCCCATTCTTTAAAACCAGATGTGCCTCTTAGCTCTTTATTGTAGGTTTTCTGTTCTGTGGTTAATTTTGTTTTTCACTCAAATGTGAGATTCAAGCACTTGAATCAATGATTATGTTTCTGGCCATGATATTGGACAAGTTCAACTATTGGGATGGATTAAGTTTTTATGCAATGCCAGTTGTCCAATTCTATTTTCAAAAAACTAGTCCGAAACGAAGATGGCAAAGGAGGGATTCTAGAATAGCAGGAATCTGTAGGACGAGGCAGAACATGTATAAATGGAAAAATGAAGCTAATGGATAAATTGCACAAATGGTTCACAAGGAAAATACTACCCTAGGTGATTTTCTCTATCAAGAAAAAGGGAAAGGGTGTCCTTTGACAGCTCTGGCAACAGTGGCAATATCTTCCTAATGTTGTCATGTGGTTAACTTCAAATATGAGGGTAGCCACTGTCTAGTAAGAGCCAGCGCCTGCTCAGAAGTTGGCTTTGTTTGGCGCTTTGGGTACAGATTGTTGCCAACCTGACTCAGAAAGTTAATGATCTAAGAGGTCAAGGCGTGAAAAATGAAGCTATGGTGCGTACAGATTATTGCCAACCTAACTCCGAAAGTTAATATGACTGAAGAGGTATATGGCGTGAAAAATGAAGCTATGGTCCTTGGGCTCTGTAAGGATAAGCAGGATCCGCGAGTTCGTTTCCGTTTTATACTGACTCTGTGAACGGGCCAAGGGTAGGAAGGATGATTCTCTCCAACTGGAACTTTTTCTTTTCTTCATGGAAATCTCTTAACTGGAACTTTAAAAGCATAGTTGAGTAAATTTATTTCTCTAGTCTAAGCTTCATCATTGCCATTGGAGATCTTTGTCCTGGCGTGTGACAAACATACTAAACAACCAACATAAAAATATGAAGTTAAATGGAACAAATCTATTCTGAATTTTAATTTATTGAAAAATTATTTTGTGAACTTTTAATTTTAAATAATCTTATTAAATTTTTATTTTTATTTTTTTAATTCATCCTATGATTTTCAACTATTATTTCTTTCTTTAATAAATTCAATGCTTGATAATTTGAATTGATATTTTGCACACGTGTTACAAAAAATCTAATTAATTTTCTAAAAAATTCATAGAATTTTTCATGGAATTTTTTTTCTGAACATTAAAAATATTGAAAATTAACAAAATTAGAATTTGATCCGAAATGAAATCAATTTTTTTAAAAAAAACTCTAGACAATTCTTAATGAATGTTTTGTATCATAAATCTATTTATGTAACTTATTTTTTATAAAAAAAAAAAAAAAAACAAACAAACAAACAAACAAAAAACAAAAGAATTAACTAAATCTTTAAAAACAAAAATTTCTCTAAATTTAAAGTTTAAAAAATGATTTTCAAATAACTTAAAACTCAAAATATATATATATAGTACGAAGCAAATAACCCTGTTGAGTTCCAACAAGGCTCAAAATACGGGAGCCATTGGCATACCATATACAATACTTTACTAGTACGCTAATTATTCACCCTGTAGTGGCGGCAGCTGGTAAGTTGTCCCATGAGGGTACGTCGCCCGATAATTGTACTTTGTATTGGACACACCACAGTCCATTCTCACTGAATTCGAGTCTGCCGGGTTCTAGGCATATGGCTCCTGGCATCCGGTCCATCACTATGATGACACCAACTTCTGCGACACGACATGAACCAAACATCTTGCATGGCGATGCTCGAACAGGTCTAATATAGGTCATCCTACATCAATTCTAAATACCAGTGGAAAAACCACAAAAAGATGACGGTTTGGTTACGCCTGCCCCGAATATTTGGGCGGTCGGGATCCATCATACGTCATCAGCCATCAACTCACATCCGACTGATACAACGACTTCATGTCATGGTTACTTTTTGTTTGTCCAAAATTGATATTTTAAGGTATCTTTTCAAACCACCTATTACCGATACCAAAAGTCAAAAAATTGCATCCATTTTGCATGAATCAGGTACATCATGGTGATTTCTTCAGAAAAATTTGCGATTCTTATTTTTTTATTCAGGACCACAGGAATTATTTGTTTCGATTGCTATCGTTTTGCCTGTAATCAGTACCTCCTACCGCTCTAAGCGAGAAGATGAAAGTGAAAGTCAAGTTCATTTATTATTATATTATAAGAAAAACTAAAAAAAATGACGATATAACTTTTTATTTACTGTAGCTATACACTAAAGTCCTTATTCATACTTTTTTTTTTTTTTTTTTTGCATCTTGATCCCTCGTTCTTTTAGAGATAAACTAATTATTCATTTGGTTTGAAAACTAATTTTGTTCATTATTTTCATCATTTTACTATTTTTTTTATAAGAAATAGAAAAAAAATAATTCTTTGGGGAATAAATTAATTAGTCCATTTGGTTTGAAAACTAATTTTTTTTATCCTTTTGGTCATTTTTTTTTATTGTAGCAGTGCCCCCCTCCCAATTTTTTTTTTTTTTACGCCATCCATTCTTACGGATCCAATGATATATATTAATTTCTTCACTCATGTATCGTTCTTCATTCTCCAATGAATAGACTCGCAATCTTCATTGCCTTGAAGGTAATATAGCTTGTTGACTAATTTATTCTCTCTCCCAACTATTAAAGTATTCATAGGGATATTATTATAGTTAACAATTATAATATATTATTATTATATTTTACAAAAAAATAGTAGTGCTTTTTTGTTTTTTTTTTTAACGTCCGACCTCCCTTTTCTTTTTTCGGTGTCTATATTTGTAGAACTATTATTATTTAGTCAAATATTTATTTAGGTCCATATTTATTGGAAATATATTTTTTTAAAATAATAAAATTATTTATAGTTAATAATTATGATACATTATCATTATATTTTACAAAAAATATCAAATAAATATTATAAAATAGTTATTTTTATTTTGATTGTGAATATTGTATTTATGCGGTACTTTTTTTTTAACATCCGGCCTCATTTTTTTTTCAGTTTTTATATTTGTAGGACTATTTTATATAGTCAAATATATTATTTAGATCCTTATTTATTAGAAATATATTTTTTAAAATAATAAAATTATTTATAGTTAATAATTATAATATATCATCGTTATATCTTACAAAAAATATCAAATAATTATTATAAAATAGTTATTTGACTTTTGATTGTGAATATTGTATTTATTATACAATATAATACTTTTTTATTATTTTATATTATGATATAAATAATATATTTATATTATTTTATGAATTTGAATATATATAAAAATTCATAAGTATTTTAGTAATATAATATATTTGATAATTATACCATATAATTAAATTAATATTACATTGTATTAGTTAAATATTATTTTAAATATATTGGTATAATAATATAATATTTATTAATAAATTATTTATTTAAATATCGGATGACGAGTTGTTCCCCTTCTATATAAATAATTTTTTGTATATTTGTTTATCAAGAAATTAGGTGTGAAAATATAAAAAAAATTGTTATTTTTTTTTATTTTACATATAGTTTGACACTAATAGAATATATATGATATTTTTTAAAATTTTAATTTTAACATGTATATCTAATTATATTATTTTTATTATTTAAAATTTATTTCTTCAATTGTTTATTTCTTGTTAAAATTCCCATCGAGTTAATTTTATATTTTTATATGATTTTATTTGTTAATAAATTTTATTTTTGTATACATGGCTTTTGAAATAAAATTTTAGAACCTTATTGTTTTTTTTTAAAAAAAATATTATTATAATTTATATGATTGATTATTTTTATGATTTTTTAATGAAAATGACGTTGTTGCACTTATAAATCCTAATAAGAAAGAGAGAGTTAGAAGTGTATTTTAGATCTTATGATTATTCTAAAAAACTAAATGAACTACGGTTTTCCCTATTCATTTACTCGTAGCGTTTTATTTATTTATTTATTTATTTTTAGTGTCGGCTCGGAGAAGCGAGCTCTAGCAATCGGCTCGGCTCATTTTACTCGTAGTTTTTTTTTTAGGGTTAGCTCTGGAGAAGCATTTCTTTTCTTTTTTTTTTTTATAGGGTTGCCCTTGAGAAGCGAGGCTCAAGCAAGCCTTCATAAGTAGTCTCAACCAACGTTTGCCTTTTTTTTCTAATAATTTTTTTTATATTTTTTATCATGAAATTAGGTGTGAAAATATAAAAAATATCATTTTTTTTAGTTTTACGTACATTTTTATGGTAATAGAATATATATATATATATATATATATATATATCCGATTATACTATTTTTATTGTTTAAAATTTATTTATTCAATTGTTCGTTTCTTATTAAAATTCTCATCAAATTAATTTTTTAATTTTATATAATTTTATTTGTTAATAAATTTGATTTTTTATATGTGGATTTTGAAATTAAATTTTAGAACTTGATTGTTTTATGTTTAAAAATATATTATTATAATTTATATGATTGGTTTTTTTTAATGATTTTTAAATGAGAACAACGTAATTACATATATAAATTTTGATGAGGGAGATAGGCTAAAAGTGTGATTTAGATAATTTTACTTAATTTTTTTAAAAAATAATAATCGATTAAAAAATTAATTTGACTCAATTTTTTAAAAAAATTAATATATATACGAACCGGACGCGACCTTGCTCTCTTTGTTCTTCCTATAATTTATTTTATATTTTTAAAAGTCCGGGCACCAATTTCATGATAGAACAGAAAAAAAAATTGGTTAATTATTTTAAATCTTGATGTATTTTAGGATTGGATCACCAAGAGGCGAAAGAAAACCCTTAAAAGAATATACATATTTTCGTAATATAACTGGATCCCGACAAGTGATGTACAGAGTTAGGCGGTCATATATAATTGGTCCCTTCACCGAGAAAAAAACATACATATTATTGGTTCCTTTAATGTCCTGGATTAATATTAATTGTATTGTTGACGTTAATGTTAACATATATATCCGATTATTTTATTCTTATTGTTTAAAATTTTTCTCGTTCAATTATTTGTTTCTTATTAAATTTCTCATTAAATTAATTTTTTTATTTAATTTTATTTGTTAATAAATTTGGTTTTTTAATATATGAATTTTGGAATAAAATTTTAGAACGTCAATATTTTATTTTTAAAAAATATATTATTATAATTTATACAAGAAATTATTTTTATATTTTTAAATGAGTGTTAGAGAGAGAGAGAGAGAGAGAGAGAGAGAGAGAGAGAGAGAGAGAGCTAGATGGTTTGACTTAATTTTTTTTTTAAATAATAATGAGTTCAAAAAATTCATTAGTTTTATTTTCTTTTATATATATATTTATTCAGAATTTATCATAATCAATTTTTTTGTAGTTTTTATTTTAATCTATTAACTTCAATATATTTCTACAATTTCGATGGTTTTTTTCTATTTATTCTATGTAATATGAATCGTTATATATATATATATATTTGTGTGTGTGTATGTGTGTGTGTGTGTGTGTGTGTCATTAGTTTCATTAGAAATTAATGATATATAGATTCAATTTATATTAATCATCAAAAATAAAACTTTCTATTGACATTACACCATACAAATCGTTAACCTTATATATGTAATCGGTTGTTTGCCCGCAACGTAGCGCGGATATCCAACCAAGAAAGAAACTAAAAGATCCGAGTAGTTCAACGAGTAAATGAATAGTTAGAACAAGTACTTCGGTTTTTCTTCTTATCCAATTTCTTTTTCGGCTAGGCTGACCATTAGGCAAGGCCTAACTTTTAGGCACGCACATGCCGAGCCTTAGCCGCCCAACCCGGCCGCCTCCTTTTTTTTTCTTTTTTTTCTTTCTTTCTTTTTTATATAGCCAAGCCTTGGTGCCCGGGTTGGCATTCTTTCCTTTTTTTTTTTTCTCTTCATATATATATATATAGGGCTCATGATTAACAAATGCATTTTTAGGTTACAATGGTCATTTTGAAATATTTTTAATTTTTAATTTTATTGTAAATTCTTAGTGGTTGATAATTTTTTGATATAATTTTATTTCTTAATAAATTTGGTTTTTTAATATATGAAATTTGAGATAAAAATTTTACAACATCAATGTTTTATTTTTTTAAAATATATTATTATAATTTATACAATAAATTATTTTTATATTTTTAAATGAGTGTTATATATATATATATATATATATATATATATATAGAGAGAGAGAGAGAGAGAGAGAGAGAGAGAGAGCCAAAAGTATGTTTTAGATAGTTTGAGTCAAATTTTTTTAAAAAATAACGAGTTAAAATTCACAAGTTTTATTTGTTTTTTTTATGTATATTTATTTAGAATTTATCAATACCAATTTTGTTGTAGTTTTTATTTTAATCTATTGACTTCAATATATTTCTACAATTCAAGTGGATTTTTTTGTATATTTTTCTATTTATTTTATACACTCTCAATCCGTTATATATATTATAAATTAATTATATATAGATTCGATTTATATTAATCATAAAAAATAAAACTTTCTAGTAGCATTACACTATACGAATCGTTAACCATACGTATGTAACGATTGTCCGTCCATAGACGTAGCGTTGGTATTTAACTAGTTACTATAAATTAAAATCGGTGAGATATTTCAAAAGTAAAAATCACTATTCATCCCTCATAAAACCACTGTTCATTTTCTGTAGCAATTGTGGGGTTTTTTTTTTTTTTTTTAAGTTCTTTCATTGTACATGCTTTTTTTTTTCCTTTGCTTTTTTCCATCAATTTAGGTTTTTTTAATTTTATTTTTTAAAACTTTTTAGATTGTTTCACTTTAGTCTTTAAAATTTTAATCCCCTATCTAATGCACTATATATGTCTTTTGTTTTTCATTTATTAATTTTTGTAAAATTCTATCCATTAATTATAACTTTATTTTTTGGAATTATATTTTTAATTTTTTTTTAATTCTTGATTAATATTTCATGTAGCAAAGGTTTTTTTTTAGTTGTTTCACCATACAAGTTTTTTTTCCTTTCCTTTTTTTCATCTATCTAGGTTTTTTTTTTCATTTATTTTTTTTTAATTCTCGGGTTGTTTCATTCTGGTTTGTAAAATTTTTAAATAAAAATTTTAATTTCCTAGTAATGCAATATATATGTTTTTTTTTCTTTACTTTTTTCCATCCATTTATTTTTTTCATTTATTAATTTTTATAAAAATTTGTTCATTAATTATAGCTTTAATATTTTAATTAAAATTATTATATTTTTTATTTTTAAAATCAATACATAAAGAAGAATGATTTATGTTTTTTAAACAGAATTTATAAAAAAAAATTAATTTCAAATTGTTTAACTATACGTCTTTTTTTCTTATTATTTTTTCCATCAATCTAGTTTTTTTTTTTTTAATTTTCTGGTTATTTTATTTTGATTTTCTAAAATTTTAAAATAAAAATTTTAATCTTTTCCTTGATACACTACAAATGTTTTTTCCTATGCTTTTTTTCTCAATTTATGTTTTTTTTTTCATTCATTAATTTTTATAAAGATCTATCCATTAATTATAACTTTTTTTTTAAAATATACTATTATAAAAAATATATTTTTAAGATTTTTTGAACTCTTGATTAATATTTTAACTGAAGTTATTACATTTTTTATTTTAAAATCAATTGATAAAAAAAATAATTTATGTTTTTCAAACAAAATTTATCAAAAACCATTAAATAAATAAATTAAATTAAAAATCATAATTAAAAATTTTTAAATTTTTAAAATGATTTTTTTCCCATCAGATCCACGACATAACACAGGCAACCAACTAATTATATCTAAAGCACAAGTTCCCATCCAGTCGCCTTCCTGCTCTAATATGGTGCACATGTGCTTTGCAAAGTCTTTCTTCTTTACGAAACATACTCAAGGAAACAAAAGTGTCCGGAAAAATGGAAAACTTCATAACTTTTTCTTGGAAAAAAGGTTTTATCCATTTCAAAATAAAACTCTGAGCAGCAATTTCTAGTCAACTGGTCTAGAGCTCCCCAAATTCTCAAAATGATGATAGCATGCCAAAGAGAGGAGACTACAGGGGAACCAATTAAACCACAGAAATATACATAGTAAGGCATAAAATTAAATATAGGTCTTTTGATACAGGAAATCACATTATTTTAATCAATTCCCTGAGCAAGATTGAAAAAAAGAACCCAAAAATGACGGACATCAAGATTGCGAGGAGGGTTCTGGAGCATCTCATTTGCCACCCAATGTTGGGAATTGTCCAGGATCTTCAATCGAAGGGGCTTGCACGTTGCTCATTCCATCTCTATTGCCAAATCCTCTAGCTCCACGGCCACGGCCACGGCTACGACCACCTGAGCCATAGTACCTTTCCCCTTCAGCAGGCTTCAAGAATTCATTAATGCTGACAGACTAAGATCATCACAGCAGTTAAGATGATAGTTAGCAATAATCCAAATTATATCATGTGTGAGTACGGGTAAGCACGAATTAAAAGAGGCAAAAAGGAAAAACAATTCCAGTTTTCACAAAAAAAATCCAACTCGTGCAGTTCATTGACAGTTAACAAACAGTAACTCCCCTGCAGTCAAAAAAAGACAAATGACCAATTGTTCATAATCCTCACGAATAGGAAAGTTCAGTATAGAAGTGCCTGTTCCAACTTACAAGCAACACAAGTTCATGTGCGTGTCAGCTTATGTTATGTTATGGCCATCATCACATCATCAGCAGAAACAACAATAATGAACAGATACAACAAATAACAAGAATTAGGGGGGAAAAAAAGAAACCCAAAAAGATCCCTTGGGAGAACAAAGCAAATTGGTCAGGGAGCTCGCCAAAGCTAATTTTCTGGCACATATGAAAAAATAAGCAAAGAAACATCAGCAGACATGAATACCTTCTTAGCTTTCTCATCCTTCTCATAAGCCTCTTTCCGCTTATCCTTGTCAGAACCCTTGAATATAGAAATAGTTGCAAAGATATTCAAAGAACTGACGTTGGTATAAAACCAATGGGAAATTAAAAGCTTCAGTAATCTCTACCAATTTAATAAAGATATCGTTGTTTTCCTTCTTGCTTGAAAGCTGCTGCATGGATTGAAACTCTTTAGCATCCACCTTTCTTTCCTCTGTCTTAAGTGCCAGCAGGGCCTTCCTCTTCTCTTCCAGCACCTTCTCATACTCTTCAAGAGTCATCTCCTTAATAGAAAGAACCAAGCACCATAAGCTATACTTTCAAAATGGAAAAAAGTTACTTATACCACTAATTGAATGATCAATATTAGAATTGTAGTCACTTGAATATGTTTAGATTAAAAAGTTAAAAGAGTCATTTAGTGCCTTAGAGCTTGAGCTCTTATGCAAAACAGCTCAACACTTGCACCAAACACCAGAATTGAAACCACAAAATTCCCTTGAACTAGATAAACCAGAAATAGTAATACTAAGTCCAGCCAGTTACAAAATTTCCAACAGCCTAAACTGAAAGAGATGTGAAAAGGGACAGACCTAGCAAAATAACAATGGTCAATATTTGGATGCCTCTACTAACTAGTATTTTCCTATACATGCCGATATAAATAATAAAACTATGGAAGTCATGCAAACTCTCCACTGACCAGAACAAAACAAAATAAGACGAGATATGGACACAAGACAAAACACCTAATTACTACTGAATGCATTCACCTTATCCTCTGGTTCTTTTTCTTCAGGTTCATTATCAGGGTTCTCCTTGTTCCCATCTACTGCTGCTTCCTCCACAGGCTTCTCATCACCCAAATTCTTCTCCCCTTCATTGGCAACTTCCTCAGATACCCTAATATATATATATATATATATAAAATAATGAATGCCCAACAAATGAAATGAAGTTCTTAAAGTATAACAGAATTATAGAACGCCAAAGACACTTACAGTAGAAATGACACACACATGCGGATCGTATAAAGTCTTGGTTAGTTTTATATAACTACACTTACTGAGCAAGTTCATCAGTCTGAGTTCCCCAGTTCCCACGACCAAAGCCTTCACGCTTCATCTCATTTCTGCATTTATACATAAGTCAACTTTGATGCATGAGCACATGGCACATTCGAAATTGACAAAAAAAAAATGATAAACACAAACTATCATCAAGAAATACCCACCCACGTCCAGTCCCACTCCGACGTTCATAAATCCGACGAGGACGCTCTCCTTCGCCAACTTCTCCATCCGCAAAACCCCCATGACGGCCACCACGGAAACCACCACCACGAGGTCCACTGTATCCACGCCTTTCAGAAGTCTTTCCAGTATCTCCATCTTCAGCAGTACCTTGAACAGCTGGTGCTCCTGAGTTACCAAATGAACTCTCATTGCTGCTGAAATCCCTACTATATCCCCCACGACCCCGCCCATATCCTCGTCCTCCACCACCACCACCTCCTCTCCCACCTTCATTCTTCCCTTCCCTCACTACAGAAACAGAGGCAGACACGAATTAGCACATTCATACACACGCACAAATACAGAGACAGCAGGAAGAAACCACGACCACAAAAAATAAAGATATATACTAACAAGGCATCAAGCATACAAGCTTCGATAAAACACACAAACCAACGATGTTTTACACAAAGCAAACATATTTTTCATATAAATTCATTTGGCTCATTCTACTCACCCAGTCTTCAAAATCACTCTAATACTATGCATCCAGAAAATTCCATAAATGTTAGTTACCTTACAAAAATAACAACTATAAGAAAAATTCTCTGGGATAATTAAAACATCTCAAATTTTCACACATAATAGAAAAAAAAATCCACAAGCAAACAACAAGAGAAAAAAATAATAATAACTGACCAGCCTGTGAAGGAGGAAGAGGCTTTGAAGGGAGCTTAGCAGCTGGAGCAGGTTTGAGTTGAGTCTGAGCTGGACCTTTCTTACCGGCGGCGGGAGGGGAAACCACCGGCTTTTGGGCAGCGATGAGAGAGGGATCCTCGGCGTCATCATCCAATAAATCAAAAGGATTGATCGTCGCCATTTCCGATAAAGAAAAACCTCAGCACCAACCAAACAACACACCACAAAAAAAACTTTCCAAAAGAAACTCTAACGTAACAAAACCTCCATATTTATCGTTTCTGTTTTTCTATAATGAAGATAGATCTGTAAAAAAACAGTAGAAAGAAAGAATTCAATAGAGTTAGAGAGAGACAGAGAAGAAAACGAAAAACCCTAGCCGCAATAGAAAGAGAAATAGACCTAATCTGAAATGTTAATGTTGTTGGAGACTTGCTGTTGCTGTTTTAGTATTTGTGCTTAGTGTACTCTAGGGAGTATAAATATTTTATTTTATTATTATTATGATTAGATATTAAAGACGACCGTTTCTATTTTGGTGCTGGTTTTTGGAGAGATTTACGAATATGCCATTCTTAAGATAAGCATGAATGGTGTGACTAGTGAGAGTGAGGTTTCTTTTTCTTTAGGATTTCATCAAGTTTTGGACTTTTCCTTTTTAAGGATCAAGCCAAGGACGGATGTATCAGCACCAGTTTTTGAAGTTGCTGGTCCTGGTATGTAATTCAGCATCGTGGAGTCAGAAAAATTATTGATCATATATATATATATATATATAAAAGTTATGTGTTTATTTGTCAAAAATAGAGAGAGCGAGAGAGAAAAATTATAATTTTTTTTTTAATTTTATGTCAGAACGTTTAATGGATCGTACCTTACGACTTGGTTCCAAAACCAAAACGAGCAGAGTTTTTGGCCTTAAAAAACTCTCATGTTTCCGCCTCACTGGACCGCTCTCTTTTGAGTGTATTTATTGCTTGCATCAGTTGGATGATTAGATTTGTTCGACATGTGGAGTTAACAAAATCGTTCATTTTCAGATTTCCTTTACAATTTATTTATTAAATAATTACTATATCCTTTATTGATGTTTGACTTTTTTGTTTGGCTATTTGATTTTCCATATTATTATCGTAGATCTGAACGTAGTTTTCGGATTTATTCATATGAATATAGTAGTACTAGTTGAATGGGTTATGAATTCTATGAAGTTCGCTTCATAGCTAAAGAAGTTTGTTTCTGGATTTAAATTTTTAGAATATGAATATAGGAGAATTTATTAAATCTTTTTAATGTATTAAACCGATTTATTAAATGTATCTTTAAATCGTTTTAAGAAGGACTGAATCTTAATTGATGTGCATCATTGTCTAAAAATAATCTTACCATTAAAAAAAAAGCGTAGGGTACGGATAGTTTGGTCTAAAAATAAACCAATTGTATTTAAGAAGACATTTTATGTATCAATTAGGCTGGATCTAGACTTTATTTTTTGAGTATACTATAAATTACTCTCTTTTGTTTCGAAAAATAAATTAATTCATTTATTTTATTTTAAAAATTAAATATTTAGCCTTGTATATTATTAAGTTTTTGTCAAATCTATCAAATTAATATATAACATCTAAAATGCTTCTAAACATATATATTCATTTATGAAGATATATTTTGATATTTGAAGAAAGCGAAAGAGAATGAAGATTAATAAAATAAAAAACAGATATTTGAGAAGAGAAATAAAAAATTGTTTTAAGGGTTTGAGGAGAGAGAGAGAAGAAAGGGATGTGTATGGAGAAGAGAAATAAAGTAAAAAAAATGATTTGAGAACAAAAAAAAAATATTACAACAAAGACATCATTAATCTAATAAAAAACCAGCAAAAAATTAAGTTGTAGAAAAAATTAGAGAAACTAAACAATTAGTTTTTTTAAAAAGAGGGAGTAATTAATTCTTTTAAAAAAAAAATGAGAGGGACGACATTATAATTTACTCTTTGTTTTCCTCACCCAAAGCTTAAAAAAAAAAAAAAAGTGGGGTTGCTCATATTCATTCCATGTAGCTACACACTCAAAGTCTCTATTCATGATTTTTTTACATTTTGGTCCCTCATTCTTTGAGAGATAAATTAATTAGTCCCTTTAGTTTGAAAACATTTTTTTGGTTATTTTCACCATTTTACTATCTTTTTTTTTTAAATAAATAGAAAAAAATAATTCTTTGGGGAATAAAAGAAGTGGGGTTGCTTGCTATTCATTTACTGTAGTTACACACTCAAAGTCCCTATTCATGTATGTTTTTTTGCATCTTGGTCCCTCATTCTTTGAGACATAAATTAATTAGTCCCTTTGGTTTGAAAACTAATTTTTTTTTGTCTTTTTCACTATTTTATTATTTTTATTTTTTCTTTTAAGAAATAAAAAATAGAAAATTAATTCTTTGGGGAATAAATTAATTAGTCTCTTTGGTTTGAAAACTAATTTTTTTATCCTTTTGGCCATTTTTATTTACTATAGTAGTCCCCACCCCCTCTTTTTTTTTTAACGCCGTTCATCCTTCCGGATCCACCGATATATATTAACTTCTTCACTCATGCATCGTTCTCCATTCTCTAATGAATAGACTCGCAACCTTCATTGCCTTGAAGGTAATATAATTTGTTGACTAATTTATCCTCTTTCCCAAATATTAAAGTATTTGTATGACTATTATTATAGTTAATAATTATAACATATTATCATTATATTTTACAAAAAAATAGTAGTGTTTTTTTTTTTAACGTTTGGCCTCCTTTTTTTTTTTTTAGTTTCTATATTTGTAAGACTATTATTATATTTGAAAACTATTTTTTTCTTTTTCGCCATTTTATTATTTTTATTTTTTCTTTTAAGAAATAAAAAAACAGAAAATTAATTCTTTGGGGGATAAATTAATTAGTCCTTTTTGGTTTGAAGACTAATTTTTTTGTCCTTTTGGCCATTTTTATTCTATCGTAGTTGTAACGTCCTTAACTTAATTTTTTATAAAAACTTCGTATAACTTAGCCAATTTAGTTCTAGAAAACTCAATTAATCACAAAATATCACTTAGGACCGTTAAAACCTCATATTAGAAAGATCGGGAATTTTTTTTTTTTTTTGGGCGATAGGTTACACTGCTTCCAACACGATCGTGTACTTGTCCGTGTAACTTAAAACTCATTTTTCCTTGAAAATAGAAGGTTACACGGCCTTCCACACGGGCATGTACCTTCCCGTGTACATTTCTATCCAAAACAAGGGTTTTTCGGCCATAACACTTCAAAACCTAATCAACAACATTCTTTCCACTTATAACCCTTTGATATTCAATCAAAACCACTTTTTTTGTTCATAAACACGTCTCAAAACACCTTCGGGAGTTCATATTTACATAGTTACATATACAATTCAAAAATCTCCTAGGATGCATATGCTCGGCATAATGAGAGAGAGGAGAGGGAGATCGCCAGTCGACCTGTCACTCATGACGTGAATTGAACAACAAAAGATGACTTTAACTTTCACTTCTTGCTTCTTAGTACCTAAAAAGATAATTACATTTTTAATGAGATGCTTACTCAATGAGAGAACAATAATCCATTGAAACCATAACATGCAATCACGTCATCTAGTATCATCACATATAAACAATATAGGTAGTTCATATGACTCTAAGATTACATGCTTTTTTTTTCTTATCGGTTATAACTTGGACATGTCAAGTTTCGCCACAGGTACTTGTAACTTGTAAACTTGTACACATGTATTGCTTGGCCGACTTTTATAACTTGTAGTTGACCCGTTGGGTCCCCGTAAACTTGTATTTGCGAAACTTGGACAAGCCGGTTATAACCTTAACCTCATAGTCTTCCATATATCATGAATGTTTCACATACAGCATATACAACATCCATAGCTTACACCATAGTACATATCCATTATAACATCAATAAACATAACGTTTGCGTCAACTAGCAAACAACACATCATTCATATCATAGTATCAATATCAATAAACATAATATTGTTATAACATCAATAAACACAATATTGTTATAACATCAATAAACACAACGTTTGCGTCAATTAGCAAACGGCACATCATTCACATCATAGTATCAATATCAATAAATATAATATTAGCACTCAATAGCAATAACACATCATGGCACAACTATTATTATTCAACTCACAAAAATGACGTCTTCGTCGTTTATCAATGCGTCGCATCTTGCACCTCACGCTCCTCGACGTCTATAAACACATACACATATACTTTTATAAGTCATTTTATCATGATCAAACTTCTAAATATGCTCAAGGTACAAAATATGACTTTAGGGTTAACTTATTTCTTTATGGGTACTTGACCCATTTTCACTCTTTCTACCATAAGTCCCAAAATACAGATTCAAATGATGCAATTTTAGTTTCACATGAAACTATACTCATAGGGGTCTAACATATCTAAAAATAAAGTCTAGGTACGAAATACACAACTCATGATGATTTTCTAAAAATCGAGTTGCTGCCATTTGTTTATGGGTACTTGACCCCTTCACGAGTTCACACTCTTTGTACTATAAATCCTAAAATACAGGGTAAAATGACAAAATTCCAGTTTTACATGCAACTAGAATCAAAGGGGTCTAACATATCCAAAACTCAGCCCAATATTCCATATACATGATTTATTCTAGATTTTCAAACTCTAACTAGTTTCCAGCACCCTTGTTACCGAGCAGTCTCCAAACAAACAACAATAAATCTATATTGGGACATGATAAAGACCTAATTCTTTTTTTAAAAGAACTAGACATATCAATATAAAACATATCCAAAAATCAGATTGAAATACTCAACACCCAAAGAATACCATATTTTTAAAGTTTGCACACTAATCTGTCAGCATCGGATCACCTAGAACAACATGTGTTCAAACCATCATAACCCGAAATATAAATCACTAAATACAAAACCCTTTCACAGAGATCTAGGTAAGACACAAAAAAACAATTTTTATTCTTACAACTTGTTTCATATCTGACCTTAAAGTCTCGAAATCAAGAGTGCAAAACAGAGCTGGAGATGAACTTACCTAGATTTCCAGCTTGATAATCCGAATTTGACAAAGAAATGGGTTTTTCCTCTCTTTCTCTCTCTCAAAATGGGAAACCAGATGGGATAAGAAGAGATAATGATCAGGTAAGTAATCTTGATAAGGTTGTGAAGATATTTTGACAAAGTTCATTTTAGTCCCTCAAGTTTTGGATTGTTTTTATTCTAGTCCCCCGATTTAGATTACATTCAATTGAACCCTCATTTCTTCCTATTATTCAAAATACTTATTATCCAATACCCCACCAACATGTCATATGCAGGTATAATTATATACGTGTAATTCCTAAGTATGCGTGTATGCATGAACGAGTGTATGTTTTTGGGACGGGGTTATTACGGTAGTAGTCCCCACCCCCTCTTTTTTTTTTTAACGCCGTCCATCCTTCCGGATCCACCGATATATATTAACTTCTTCACTCATGCATCGTTCTCCATTCTCTAATGAATAGACTCTGCAACATTCATTGCCTTGAAGGTAATATATTTTGTTGACTAATTTTTCCTCTTTCCCAAATATTAAAGTATTTGTATGACTATTATTATAGTTAATAATTATAACATATTATCATTATATTTTACAAAAAAATAGTAGTGTTTTTTTGTTTTTTTTGTTTTAAACGTTTGGCCTCCTTTTTTTTTTTTTAGTTTCTATATTTGTAGGACTATTATTATATGATCAAATATATTATTTAGGTCCTTATTTATTAGAAATATATTTTTTTAAAATAATAAAATTATTTATAGTTAATAATTATAATACATTATCATTATATTTTACAAAAAAATCAAATAAATATTATAAAATAGTTATTTATATTTTGATTGTGAATATTGTATTTATGCTATGCTTTTTTTTTTTTTAACGTCCGGCCTCATTTTTTTCAGTTTCTATATTTGTAGAACTATTATTATATGGTCAAATATATTATTTAGGTCCTCGTTTATTAGAAATATATTTTCTAAAACAATAAATTATTTATAGTTAATAATTATAATATATTATCATTATATTTTACAAAAAAAATATCAAATGATTATTATAAAATATTTATTTTTTATTTTTATCGTGAATATTTTATTTATTATGCAATATAATATTTTTTATTATTTTATATTAGGATATAAATAGTATATTGATATATTATTTTACGAATTTGAATATATATAAAAATTGATATGTGTTTTAGTAATATAATATATTTGATAATTATACCATATAATTAAATTAATATTACATTGTATTAGTTAAATATTATTTTAAATATATTGGTATAATAATATAATATTTATTTATAAATGATTTATTCCAATATCGGATGATAGTTGTTCCCCTTCTCCATAAAGAATTTTTTTTATCATGAAATTAGGTGTGAAAATATAAAAAATAGATCGTTATTTTTTTTATTTTATATATAGTTTGACAGATAATAGAATATATATGAGATTTTTTTTTAAATTTTAGTTTGAACTTATATATCTTATTATATTATTGTTATTATTTAAAATATATTTTTTCAATTGTTTGTTTCCTATTAAAATTCTCATCGAATTAATTTTAAAATTTTATATGATTTTATTTTTTAATAAATTTGATTTTTTTATATATGTCTTTTGAAATAAAATTTTAAAACCTGATTGTTTTATTTTTTAAAAATATATTATTATAATTTATATGATTGATTATTTTTATGATTTTTCAATGAAAACGACGTTGTTGCATATATAAATTCCGATGAAAAAGAGAGGGTTGGAAGTGTGTTTAAGATATTATAATTATTCTAATAAAAACTAAAATAATTAGGGTTTTTCATGTTCACTTACTCGTAGCGTTTTATTCATTTATTTATTTTTTAGTGCTACCTTGGAGAAGCGAGCTCCAGCAATTGGCCTAGCTCATTTTGCTGTAGTTTGTTTTTCTTTTTAGGGTTGGCTTGGAGAAGTATTTCCTTTTTTTTTTTTTTTTATAGGGCTAGCCTTGAAAAGCGATGCTCAAGCAGTGTCCGCACAAGTAGTCCCGACTAGCGTTTGCCTTTTTTTTTTCCTTCTAATAATTTATTTTTATATTTTTTATCATGAAATTAGGTGTGAAAATATAAAAAAGATTGTTATTTTTTTTTTAGTTTTGCGTACGGTTTTACGGTAATAGAATATGTGTGTGTGTGTGTGTATATATATATAAATTTTAGTTTAAACATATATATTTGATTATATTATTTTTATTGTTTAAAATTTATTTCTTCAATTGTTTGTTTCTTATTAAAATTCTCATCAAATTAATTTTTTAATTTTATATAATTTTATTTGTTAATAAATTTGATTTTTTATATATGAATTTTGAAATAAAATTTTAGAACTTGATTGTTTTATTTTTTAAAATATATCATTATAATTTATATGATTGATTTTTTTTAATGATTTTTAAATAAGAGTAGCATAATATAAATTCGACGAGAGAGAGAGGCTAAAAGTGTGTTTTAGATGATTTTACTTAATTTTTTTAAAAAATAATAATCAGTTAAAAAATTAATTTGACTCGATTTGTTTTTAAAAAATTAATATATATACCAACTAGACGCGACCACTGCTCTTTTTTTCTTCCTATAATTTATTTTATATTTTTAAAAATCTGGGCACCAATCTCATGATAAAAAAAAAAAAAAAAGTTGGCTAATTATTTTAAATCTTTATGTGTTTTAGAATTCAATCACCAAAAGGCAAAAGGAAACTCTTAAAAGAATATATATATTATCATAGCATAACTGGATTTCTAGTAAGTGATGTACAAGTTAAGCGGTCATATACAATTGATTCCTTTATCGGGAAAGAAAACATATATATTATTGATTCATTTAATGTCCTTGAACCAATATTAATTATATATTTGACATTAATGTTAACTTATATATCTGATTATTTTATTCTTATTGTTTAAAATTTTTCTATTCAATTATTTGTTTCTTATTAAATTTCTCATTAAATTAATTTTTTGATTTAATTTTATTTGTTAATAAATTTGGTTTTTTAATATATGAATGTTGGAATAAAATTTTAGAATGTCAATGTTTTATTTTTTAAAAACATATTATTATAATATATATATATATATATATATATATATAGAGAGAGAGAGAGAGAGAGAGAGAGAGAGAGCTAAAAGTATGTTTTAGATGGTTTGGCTCAATTTTTTTAAAAATAATAATGAGTTCAAAAAATTCACAAGTTTTATTTGTTATATATATATATATATTCAGAATTTATTAGAACCAATATTGTTATAGTTTTTACATTATACCATACGAATTGTTAACCCTATATATGTAACGGTTATTTATCATAACATAGCGTGGGTATCTAACTAGTATGGACTGCATCTTATGTAGTTGTACAAAACAAAAATGTTAACTAAATCTATTCCGAAGAGAAAGAGATAAAAAAAGGATTTTAAAGGTTAGGCAAATAGAGGATTTTCATTTTTATATGTCTATCTCTCTCTCTCTCTATCTCTCTCTTCTTCTTCTTCTTCTTCTTCTTCTTAAATGAATGAACCAATAAAATAACTACTTTATGTATATACTAGTTACACCTTAAATATTATAAAATTTTTCCATTGCTTATTCAGTCTGGAATTGAACTCACAAACTTTGAATTTCAGTGGCATGTGGAAATTAAGAGGTTGCTATTTAATTGTATGAAAAAACTTCTAAATATTCCGACAGGCTGTTTCCCTCGCTCAACCTCTAAATTTTCTAAGATTTATTAAATTCTACTGCCCCTATTGAAATTAATCGCATTTCACTGGTTGGAACATTTAAGATTAAACATAATATAAAATTGGATTGATAGGTTCAACTATTCTCTATATAATGGCTCAAATTTCTAATTTATCCGTATATACTAAAATAATTCTATTATATTTTTATTATTTTAATTAATTTTTAATATATCCCTTCTATTCAATTTTTTCTGACCAAACCACCCAAATTTGATACAAATCAGTCGATCAATTTTCCATAGTTTGATCAGAAAAATACATTAAAAACCAGCTAAAATAACAAAAACTTAACAAGATCTTTTTAAGACATAAGAATAAATTAAAAACTTAACCTGTTATATCAAAGACAAGTGAAACTATTTGCCCTAAAATTTTAATTTTTCAAGGTCCAAGCAATAAGGGCCCTTCTAAGCTTTAGCAATTCTTAGCAACGCGTAAAATAAAATGAACAAGGCATTATATTGACAGAACCATCCGCAAAACACCAAACATGAAACTCAACTAAATCTAGTTCTAATACAAAAATAATTGTGATCAAATGCAGACTTCAAAAACAAACATTTTGTGCATGCTCAAATTGAATTGCAACTTCCGACTAGAACGCCCTTTACGTACAGATAAATTCAGGGGCACCAAGTAATCTGTCCATATGCCTAATACCGTGAGCATATTAATCAACCAGGATGAATAATCATTTCTCACATATCATTAAATTAAAATAATTTTAACCATCCCCAACAAAAATTTTACAAGCCTCAATATAATGAGGTTTTATGTACATGCATATCGCAAAAACATAATCTACTCCCAATCATCCATATACCTTTTCTTCTTATCTCACCTTTCTGTTTATCATAAAGATTACACAGAATGAATGGTTGGCAAAATCTAAAATCCCGGCAAAACTGAAAGATCTGCTATGCCTCTAGGCAGGTCTGCAATTTTATTTAGAAGAGTAAGCCTGTTCTTCCTAATTCGTTCATCTTCCTGCATGCAGACAAAAGTAATGTTACACAGTGCTGGAATCCATTAATAGCAATTTTAAGCTAGAGAGAACAAGTTGTTATAAAAAGGAATCTGCAAAACATTTAATGCATCGATTATTTGTACATGACATGAGTAGAGTAACACTATATGCCATAAGGCAGCAAGACACGAGCACGGAGATCTCTCTCTTGAACATAAACTCTCAACTGTAATTTCCAACAATGGATATAGACATTAATGATATAAATAATTGAGTCCGGAAAAAAAAACATACCACCATGACAAAAACATTGTTGAAGAAATCCTCAAGCGGTTGTAGTAGCTCTGATGATATCTCAACAAACTCATCAATCTCAATGCCTGTAAGATGGATAGGTTGATCTCAGCGTCAGTTTAATTAACATCATGTTTTACTAATACAAATCAAAGCAAATCGCCAAATATTTCAAATCCAAAAGGCCACGTGTCCCATGGGAAAAAGTGAACTCCATTTCCTAAGAGTGATCATTTTATGAAGAAAGATCAAGTACCAGGGTGAATTTTGCCTTTTGTGGACAAGAAGGTGCTCCATAAAGCTCTCTCTTCATCTGTTTCAAATGCAGCCTCATCCACCTAATAAACAATTTCATACCAATAGGCAGAGATTTTCTAGCACAGACTAGTGCTTAATAAAATACACAGCATATACATAAAAAAAATTTACGTTTTGAAGTTCCACCAATTTAGAGACAACCACAGAAACAAAAGAAGATCCTAATGGTGAAATACAATGGTATGCGGAATGCTATCTGATCTTCAAGAGAGAAGAAGCTCAGAGACATGAGAAGATCCTAATACTGACAGACAAGTCCATGTCAAAGGAGGTGAGGCTTTATTGTCAAATATATTGGGAAATGACGTTAAGGAGGAAGAGGGGTAACTTGGGGGGGGGGGGGGGGTTTGAAGGCTCAAAATGGGAAAGGATCAGAGGATGCAGATGAAATTATGGATGGCGCTGCATATTTTAGTATTATCACAGAAGGCACTGTGGCTTAAAATAAGAGGGCATTGCATCAAAACAGAATATTTTGTATTGCATCTCCACCCACAACATCAAAAGAACAGTACACTTCTAAGTCATGCTTTCCCTGCAGTGTATATGTGGTCAGCAACCAATGAGGCCTGTGGAAGTTTGGTCTGAAGAAGCAAGTGGTGGTTTTGCTTAATGCAGGTCTTTTGGTACTAACTGTCAAAGGATATGAACTTTAGCTTGGTGATGTGGTAGTTGGTGGTGCCTTCTCTTGGTTGGTGTTGGATGCTGATACATGGGTGCCTGAATTCTCCATCCTCAATCTAAGTGTTGGTGCTTCCTTGTGCAGTGCATTCTACCAGTAAAGCCAGAGGTTGGCAAATTGCAGCAAGGGGTCACTCCCTTGCTAATATTTAACAGGATTAGAGTGCACTGTCATTTGATTTTCGTTATCCTTTTCACTTGCATTTGCTTAAAGGAAGTGGTGTGTTCTCTTACTTCATTTTCTACCTTCTATTAATTTTTAATATCACGCTTTTATTTCATCTAAGAATTAGTACCTTCATATCAGTGTCCACATCCTTGCCACGGACAATTCTTGTTGGACGAGAATATGCTTCAATAACCTTAGGGAAAAGATTTCCTCTTGATAAGGCCTCCATCTGAAACAAATTTTAAGTCACATTCAAAATTGATAAATAATTCAAGAAAATTAGAAGGATGATAAATAAGACAATCCTTTTAGTTTCTTTGTTCCATGCTCTTTAAATGAGAAATGGATCAAAATCGTTCACCAAGAACAGCTTTCTCAGTAACTTCTGCTCTCTCAAAAAAATAAGCACAAAGAAGTACATGACAACAAATTCTAGCCAACAAACTCTTCAGATCCAACATTTATTAGGATAGCAGATGTATGTCGAATTATTTGAAATTTGAGATGTTACTGCATAATGTGGTTATCCAGCTATTCATTATTTACCAAGACATAAGAACGGACCATCTGTTTATTGCACAAAAAGTACCCTTTTTGTTTCAACATTATATGTATATATGTATGTATCATGTTGCATTGGCAACAAAAAGATCAAATTTGAGACATTGCTGTAAAATATCATATTGGCCCATTCATTGCTCCCTTTGCACTATATCAAGAGTCTATTTTTCAATATACACAAATGTTTCAGGCACATCATTAAAAATTATTCACGTTTTTTTGTGCTTGAAATCCACTATTACCAGAAATTCAATGAAGTTTATTTTGTCTTGCATGTAAGATGCATCATTAAGTGGCAAGAGCAGACAATTCAGTAGCTGACTTTCTTACTAGGACAGATATTATGGGGAAAAATACAACCTCAAATTGGAGCATTTTTTAGGGGGCAAGGGAGTATTTTATAAGGAAAAACAAAACGACCACCATAGTGTACAATATATATATATATATATATATATATATATATATATTTCACATCATATATTGGATGTGGAACAGCCGTAGCAGGAAGGAAATGAGAAAAGTTAATGCAAAAGCGATCATAAGCATTTCGCAAGCCACAAAGCATCTTCATATGCTCTATTCCTTATCTTTTAGCAAAAGAACGGATGATGGTTCTGATAGCGTTTGGTGATATACACTCAAGGTCCTAACAATTAAAAAAACACAATGCCCTAATTTTTCCTTCAGAATGCATCAGCTATGCTTATTTTGTAGAGATGGCAATGATCCATAAATAAAAGCCTAAACTAGGAAGAAAAAGTAAAAAAAACTCCAAGGAGCATCAAGCAAAACCATTTACTTTATATGCTGTCTTCGCTGCCAGACAAGGTAAGCTTGCACGTTCAGTAAGAACAGAACGAACAATTTCCGGACTTATCCCCTTATCAACCTGCAGCCACAATAAACAGGACTAAATACACACTAATCTCGGGAATACTAAACTCTTACAAGATAGTGTTAGACTTGGAATATAAAATCTTGTCCAAGATTGTTATGTGGTACACATTGTACGCTGGGCAAGTTTGCCCACCAATTTTAGCAGCAGGTAGAAGGTTGAGGTTAGAAAGAGATTAGTATACTCTGTTCAATTGTGCAATCCTAAGACACTAATATAAGGCAGTCAATAGTTCCATCTTCACTTAAGACATCTTTTTCCTTCTGCAGTTTGGCTTTATTTTCCTCCTTGTCTTCTCATTGGTGGAATGATATGCATTTACATGTTCTGCAGAAAGATGATAACAAAGAGCCCAACACTCTCATTTCACTGATCAATCTTATTTCTTCATTTTAATTAAAAGAAAAAAACGAAAAGCAACAAAAACAGCTCTTAAGCTACGGACACAACATCCAAAAGTTCTGTAAGCAGGCAGGGAAGAACTTGCATGCCCTAACATCTTTCTTATAATTTTTTGGAATCAGTTATTTTGATATTTTAGGGTTATCTAGCCAATTAAGCATGTTAACTTGGTGCAGTCAAACGCAAACGTACCAGGAATTGCTCCAGCCTTCGAGTAACAAATAGATGTACCTAAAATAAATATTGAAACCCTACATTATCATGCCTGTACTGACAAAACAAATAAGAAACACTGCTTAAGCAGCCTAAAAAAATAGGGTAACATACCAATCCGACAGTTAATTGGATGAACAGTAATAAAACTGTAGTTAACGGTTTCATGTGAATAACAAGACAGGTGAACTATGGATTGCTATAGCTTCCTAAAGGCGATGGGCCTGAGGAAGGATGTATTATGCAAGTTGGAGACCAGCTACAGTAAAAGTCTAAGGTCAAATCCTTGTACAAGTATTATGAAGTGGCTTGAGAGACACATTGCAAGGTATATGGTGTCTTAAGCCAAAGTTCCTACTGGAGTTTCTTTATTGTGTGGTCATATTCTAACATGAGAATTCGTTCAAGGAAGACTTCCTCAGTTTGGTGGCAAAAAAATTTGCTTGTCTCTCATTGTTTGGTGTAAACTGATGTCAATGAGAGGAGTGTCAGGAGGTGGAAATAAAAGTTCTTTCCTCCTAAAGAGGATTGTGAGAGCTGCTGCAGGTAATGAAGGGTTGGCTAGTGACCCAAAAATCTGGAATTTTTTAAGAGTGCTGTCCTGCACATTATGATGAATTTTCACGCTCATTGTAACAATTCATTGTTGCATTCGAAATGTCCCTTTCTGTTGATGAAGCCACGTCAGGGAGATGAACAAAGAGGGAGGGAAGGATTCTCACAAGAATTTAAGAACCTGTTCTTACATCATCAATCATGGAGACATCTGCTTTAATAGGTTGCACATCAGCAGCAAGCCTTAAGGCACAAACCAAATCCAAATTTTTATCATTATCCACCAATATTTGGACCTAAAACAAACAAATGCAGCACTGAGTTATTAAACTAACTTAGCCTTAAAGCCCTACAAAATAATCACGTTAACTTACCAGACCATAAGAGATTCTTCGCAAGCCAAATGGGTCATTGGTGGAAGTAGGTTGACAACCAGCAGCAAATAAGCCTACAAGGCTGTCCAATCTGCAAAATAACTTTTGCATCAACATCATGCAAAAAAGCATTGTAATTCATAATAGGGAGTGTGTCAAGACTAATAATGTCCTCGTACAGACACAAATCCATGAATGTGTAAATAGCCTTGGCACAAGGTGTTTGGGCATTAGGGACAATAATACATCAGTTCCTTTGCTATTGGCAACAACTCTTACAAATAGCACTTTCTGAAGAAACTATTCAAATGTTATTATGACCTGGATAGGAATAAGCTTTTCATCAATTCAATGCGGTTTCTTCATTGAATCTTCAGAGGGTAATTGTCCTTCAGTAAGCTTTGCTTAGAAATTTACTAGTTGCCTAGTGTATATTTTCCATTGGAAGGCAAAAGTTTGGTTACTGCATCATCTCTTCCTGTTTGTTCACTAATCAATTACCAATCAGGGGAAAGAAAAAGACATCATGAAACCACAACTCAATGATGATAATTTTTCTACTTTTCAGCATTTATATGCATTATTCCAGCAACACACAGGAGCCTTATATCATAACAAGCTAATATCACCTGAATAGAGAAGGATTGAAATTGAAGTTGAGTTATGACTTTAAAGTAACCTGTCAGCAATTGCCAAAACTATCCCTGCATCAGTTTTTGGAACCATATCTCCAGAAAATCGAGGAAGTGTGATTTCTAACAAGGCCTCAGCAATCTGCAATGATCAAAACACAATATAAAGAAAGAAGCATAGTTAAGCTTCAAAGAAAAAAAAAGAAATTAGAATTCAGCATAGAACATTGAAGTAGGAGTTTTTTTAACATGGATCTGGATCAAGAAAAGAGATTACTTCATAAACAATGTCAGAAAGAGGCAAACAAGAAGGGGATTTCTACATCAATTTATAGTGAATTCAATGACCTGCGCTGAATAGCCTTCCCTAAGAGCATAATGGCGCGCCATTATTCCTGAAAGGGCAGTGAATTCTGTCACAACAGCAGTAGCAAGATCTGACATAGCAAGTGATGCTGCATCCTGGACAACCTGAATCACATCTTCGTTAACTCCCAACTGCACACTTAGTTTGGTAACCATGTTTTCAACACGCATCATCTTGTCGAGCATTGTTCCTAACTTTTCCTGCATTTCAACTTACACTGTCAGTATTGGGAGGCTTACAATGTTAATAACATTCTGTTTGGAGTAATTGTCTTTAGTCCCTATTCTCAAAACCTTTAACTTAGTCCCTTGACCGTTGTTGACTGTTGCCTCATTAATGGTTCAGTTAGTTTTTTATCTCTACATGTTTAAGCTACATGTCTAAGAACCTTATGCTAAACTTATATCCTTTAATGGCTTTAATACAAAATGTTGATCGGATACGGAGACTAATTATGATTTACTCTTCTATTTGCCATTAGGTCTTCGATCCCATAAGAAATCGTTCTGTTATTTATCTATAATATTAAAACACACCTTTTCAGATGGATGTTGACAATCTGAACTTCAGAATTTTAAGTAGCTCCTGATCCCTACCCGCTATCAATAAATTCTTCCCTTTGAACAAGTGCAATAGAAAAAAACTTACATGGAAAAGAATCCCATTTAGTTGATTTCGGAACTCAGAGAACTTCTTACGCATATCCATCTCATAGAAAAATTTTGCATCTTCATACCGAGCTCTGCACATAAAAAATGTATGGTTCATGCTTCAAGAAATAGTTTCTTGAAAAATATTTTAGCTCATGTTAATTAGAGACAAGAAAGTATAAAAAACTGGTTATTTGGAAGCAGATATAACTTCTCTTATCGATTAAATGCTAAAAGAAATTTTAAGCAGGCTTTAAGAAAATTATTTAGCCAAGGCAATTAGGGGAACTGTGAAAAATCCATTAGGATGTTCCTCTTCCTCTTGTGAGTACAAATGACTAGAACTAATGAAGACCAATCCCTACCTAAGCACGGCTTCGTTCCCTTTCTTTACCACTGTCTTGTTGATTGCTCCATTTGCCACCTTAAAGAAAATTGTGTCATCTGATGAATCTTAAGCAACATTCAAGTTAAAACGGACGTATAACTGGTAAGCATGCCTTACAGCAATAAAGTATGGCAGCAGCCGTCCGCCATCATCAGTTATGGGGAAATACTTTTGGTGCTTTTGCATGACCTGTATAAATGGTGTGCCGTAGTCACTAAACTAGTAAAAATAAATGAGTTTCGAGCATCTGTGCATCAATTGTGCCATATGTCTACTGGGTTAATACATATTCCATTTTCTATTTGTGAATGGACCAACTGGGTATAGAAGATTGAGAGAATCCACACTCAGCAACAGTCACTATGTTCAATAAAGTAGCATAAGTCTCTTCTGAAATTCATATGAAACCTTGCATTTGGTAGAACCTGATAATTTGTGAAAGAAGAAATGACCAAGCTATTGCACTGGGCCAATGAGGCCAAACTTTATCTCACTGATACAGATAGGAAAGCTATTACAAAGCTACTTTCCATGACAGCAGGCCCGCTTTATTTTTCATCACTGGCTTGAGATAAGGCACAATCAAATCATTTGACATCAGACCTTTAACTTATATTGAGCATTATGCATTTAAACCCAAGTTATGTCCCTTACACCTTAATTCATCATAAATTTAGCTACAATACAGCCAGTCTAAAGATTAAATATTTATAGTGACTTAAGTAGTTTACTTAGCAACCATTCAAATGCAAAAGTATGATTTGTCAATATTGCATGACACGTAAGAGAACCAATTTGAAGCTTCTAAATGATCAGTTACCAGTTGGCTGACAATATGTGATGTCAATGCTCTTCAAGTTTCAGCTTATGAATATATGTCATAAATGCAGCAAACAAACATCAAATTTCATTTATCAATGCAATTAAATAGCAAAGCATTGTCAGGTGCCGATTTTAATCAAGCCTAATAACGTAAAAAGCCTCACCATTGTTAAAAGATCTTCTGGAAGCTCCAAGAAGGACTCTTTAAACATCCCAAGCACAGAAACTGGTGCCTCAACAAGATTGACAACCTAAGACATCATACAGAGAGACACCTTATATGCACGGTCATCCTTAAACTTTTTCTTAATAGAATATCCTTAACATATTTGAAGAGAGATAGAGAGAGAGAGAGAGAGTGCCTCATTAAGTAGGCTATCCTGAATAAGGATGTGTCCATTGACACTTTTTGCTAATGCATTAGATTGCTCCAAGATGCTTTGTTTTCGACCCTGTAGATGAAAGCATCTGTTTAGTATGGTTTGAAGAATATATTGTTTAAACCCACTTCTCACGCAAATGAAGAAGGAAAGTTGTTCAGTAAAAAGATTGTTTCAAAATAAAGTAAAGTAGATTTGATGGTAATACTATCTTGTGATACCTCAATTTCAATATTAATTCCAGCATTCTGCATTGCACCTGCATAAGATTCTGCACTTTCAACCTGTGAAGTTCAGTAGGGTTAATAAATATACACAAGTATACACAAGATAATGAATGAAAAAAATTAAATGCATATGATGTGCATGCATGTATATGTAATAATTCAAGACAGCTGATAAAAGCTACACTAAAAATCTTCCAAAAATAAATGAGTTGCAAAACTGAAAGCCAATTCGCCCAGCACAAGAATTTCCGCATAAAGTGAGAGTACAAAAGAACATTGCTGCCTTTTTATTGTTCAGGCAATAACTGGTTAACCAATGCCAATGACATAAAGCCAAAGAAAGTTGAAAAACCTCCCCAATGTGCCTCCGAATGCCAGCAAAAATGCTTTGGCGATGTAATGAACTATTGTTATATAACATATCTTAGTGCACCATAAAACCATCACCATACTTCTACAACATAGTCATGATGCTTAGTGAGCTATACCGATAAAAAAACATCACTGCTTTGTTTAAAAGGCAGACAAAGTTGATTGAAATTAAAACATGTCAGTATTACACACACCTGAACAGTAGCTGAGGGAGTATTACGAAGACCATAAGATAGATTTCCACTACATCAACACACCAAAAAAGAAAAAAAAACAAAAGCTTTAGGAAACAGTACACTGCATATAAAAATAGCAGGATAAAGTTCTAAACAAAACAAAATGGCAGAATAATTTGCAAATGCGAGACTTCAGTAAACAACACGGCTGCCAAGGTATTACAAAGTTCCCATGTAAAAATTGAATAAAAAAAAAAACTGCCCTTGGAAGGAGTAATCATTCAATACTCCTAATATTGCGCTCAAATTCATGAGGGTCAAAGGTAGTTACCACAATGGGGCCGGCATGAATGTTAAGGAAGGAGCATACACCAAGAGTACCCAATAATTTCTCTTCTGAATAGAGTTAATAGCCAACACCCCTGGCTTTTGCATATATTATTCCAACCAAGGGCAAAACCAATACAATTTGGCAAGCCAAGAAGAGAGAGAGATGGGCATGAACATATGCAATCATAAATACCTCAAAATTCCAGCAAACACAAATGGAACAACCACATCTCCATGCAAGGCCATAATCCAACGAATTGGTCTGCTGAAGATGACCTAGATCCAATGTAGCAGGAAAACAAGCAAGCAATAGTTTATTGAAACATTTATAAACCTGTTCCAGATACTCCAACCTTTATTTCTATTAGGTCATACCTGAGAGTTCCAGCGCATTGACTTTGGGAATGATATTTTACTGATGGCACTGGGCAGATCTTCTGATAAAATCTGATATGCAATACGACATAAGATTGGTCTAGATGTTTAAAAAGAAAGACCGTTTTATGTCTAAAAAGAAAGATCGTTAAGGTACAGCAGGTTATAAGAAAGATGCAATGTAATAACACATAATAGCTCCTGTCCAACAACCCCCCCCACCCCCCAACGCCTGGACGCACCACACGCCCATTGTTTATTTTCTTCTTCTTTTTTTCACCTCATTTCCATTTCAAACCCTCCCTTGTAAGACATTCATGAAGCTGGTAATGTTGCAGCCTGATCCTCCCTCAAACATCGTCTGTTCTCTTTCTTCTTTGATTTTTTTCTTATGCACCCACAATTTGAATATTCCATCAATTATGGAGGATAGCATCAGCATGTATTGTCTATGAGACTAGTCAGGAAAGAAAATTGCAAAAAAAAAAAAAAAAAATACTCATGCAGAATTAGAAGGATATCAAATCCTCTAAACTTGCCATCATCCCGTTCTTTAATTGAGAGGACTGAGACTCAAAAAGCTATTATTTACAGACACTACAATCATCAGAACAACTAGCAAAAGAGAGATCAAAATCACAACCTCCAAAGCAAATCGTGCAGTCTCCCTTACATGGGCATGTACATACTCTGTTTTGCCTGCACTTGAGGGGGAAAAAACAATAAGTAACCATTACCAATAGTAAATAATACCAGTAGCAACATCGATAATCAATCAGAAAAAAATAAATCAAGTGAAATGCATAAACTAAATTTGACTGAGTAGCCTATGGACGGCAGAATATTCTTTCGCCTTTAAGCAGCAGCAACAAAGCTCTTACCACTGCCTCTTTGTTGGGAGGCAGCCTATTCTAAGGGAACTGTGTGAGCAATGATACAGGAAATGTGCGATTAAATTAGACTTTAATTAAAAGGGGGCTAAGATGACAGGACAGCAATTGAAAAACATCTGGAAGCCAATCCACTGACAAGATCAGACTTGAGAGTCTCACTTAAACAGGGATGAAATAAGCCTACCAACTCTAAGCCACAGGTTGCATTCAAACCCTGCAGAACTGAACTGATGGATTAGCCTTGATACAAGTCTAAGAATTTAATTGTACACAGCACATCTACAAGTGACACCTATCTTACCCATCCCAGTAGATGCAAGTTTTGGGCTACCTAACTGAAATTCCTTGAATATAATAGATTCAAGTATTTGTTAAGAATGCTCTTGCTGGCAATGGGTATGTATTCAGATTTTGCAAGATTGATTTTGATCACAAATTGAAAGTACATGAAACCTGTGTATTCCTTAATATATGGGATTGGACCAGATAGGACTGGCACCAAACGAGATCAGATTATCTCCATAAGGCTTTCATTGCTGGTTCAAGCAACTAAGAGATTTAATTAACTTTGGAGTTCCAATGACAGCATTCTTCATGTACTTATGTGGATGGGAAAGAACATCAATCTAGTTATGGTGCAAAAAGACCAGCTAGACCTTACTAAGAGGATACCAAGAATAATTCAGTATCGGTATCCAAACATTTTTAAATCTTCAAGGCAGCCAAGAGAGTTTAGGAGATTGAAAGGGTAGGTTATCAAAAGAATTATAAAATAAAAAGAGAACATGATTGAACAGTTTCCAATATAAGATGGTACAAATAACTCCTAAAAGTTCTAAGACATCAAAGCGAATAGGAAGTTGAAAGACAAGAGAATATTAATAGATAGCACAATTACATGAAGAAGACAAAGCAAATCTGCAGAAAATAAGAAAATTTGAGCAAACCCTGGTATTCATCAATGCATCCAAACTGACTCACCATCAAACTTTTTAAACAATGATTCCAATGGTATGTTGTATCTACGACAAAACCCCTCAGCAGCCTGACATGAAACAGCAAACGAAATATGATACCCTATCATATTGAATGCATAACTAAGTGAGGAAGAAATCACTTTCATGTTTTTTTTCCTCTATAGTTTTGAAAGATGTGGGAAATAGATTGGTTATGAGCCCATAACTTTGCCAGATCATAAGGAAATACACAACCACTGTGGTGGAATAAAATAAATAAACAACGAAAAAAATAGAGTAAAATGACAAGACAAATACCCCAAAGTTAGCATATTCGATTTTCACCAAGTAGTAAATTTATCAATAAAGGACAGAGAGGTCAGAGTATCAGAATAAAGGATCAAATTGAGTTTAAAAAATATAAATGGAAAATTATAGAACAAGCAAAACCTTTGTAGGATTTCCTTGTTGATCAAAGGCCTTTGAAACAGGAGGTCCTCGAACCTCGAGCTCAATCTCAGCTTGCTTAGTGGAAAGACTCTCAACACAAACCTGGGAATGCATGAATTATTCTCAGGGGCATATATATTCACATTTATGTAAAATTCTCAGTGCTAATGGGTTACTCAACATCATGGCAAAAATTACAAAACTGAAAACGCGATTCTTTATGGAAATTTTTGTGTGTGTGCATATGAGACTCTTAGCTGAAAAGCTGGAAACTTATAATGTGGTGCATTAGTCTGTGTGTTGAATAGATTAAAAATAATCAAATATTTTTTCGCTAAATTTCACATGAAGGTCATGGGTGTTCTATGAGAAGTGATTGGCTTCACAACAAGCATAGTAATGTAGAAACAACCAGTTTATGATTGAGAAACAAGCATATGGATCCCAACATAAATAGTAAGAGAATATGCAGAAGTCCTTAGCAGCAGTCAGTTCCTTAATGCTAGGCGCTACTAGCGTATTGTTACCGACTTGATTAATATCTGACAAGTAATTCTCTCTCATCTTCCTCTATTCCTACACAGTATACGTTGTATGCCAGGTGATAGAGTATGGCTGTTCATGAAAAGCATACCACCTTTTATTCAAGCTCATTGACAAGCTATTAGAATTGGACTGGAGTGAACTAAACATGGATCTAGGCGGTTCTGAAAATGAAGATGCTGGTGGCGAATGTGACACAATATATTTACATTCCACTCAAGAAAGCTAATCCAAAAGTAAAGCTTACCAGGGATGAAAGAATTGGTAATTGTACTCGGTTTTTTTCACAAATACCATGCACAAAAAATATGAGAAAGTAACAAACTCACATATCACACACCTTTTATATAGAAGCGTGAAAGGTTGTTAAGAAAGGTATCAAGGGAGCACCACACATATATTATAAAACAGAACTACAGGGTCATAAAAACTGAAACAGTAAGATGTACAAATTACAAACAAAAATCAATATACTCCTCATTAATGAAGGATTTTCCTGTATGTAAATAATTTATTGTCTTAATCCAATTCCCCTTTAAGGAGGTAGAGCATCAAGCACAAGCATGCATGGATAAAATTATAAACATCTTTGAGATTGCTGTAAGTATAAGAATCAACTTTACACTTTTATAACACCAAAAATAACCAACAAAGGCATCTTGCAAACGTATGCAAAGAAACAATGCCATCACCAAAATTACCACACAGGGCCTATACTTTTAAATAAAAAGAGTAATTCTAGAGATATTAGGAGTTTTTACTAAATTCTCTTTCTAGAAAGGCATATCATTTTCGTATTGGTGATATTTGTTAAATCAATAGGATATATGATTTATCATTGAGATTAATATGGTGTTGTGTCCTTCACTCATACGCTACTACATAATTTAGTATGAGAACTAGTAAACAACTATTAGTATCTATGCCATTGTTTAAACAAAAGATAGTCAGCAGGATGTCAGAGAGGTAAATATTAATAGCTATACCACTAGTCGGCGAGGAGTACCAAAAGCTTGAACTTCACCATGACTCAATCTTTGTTTCCCTAGCAATTGCAACACTAAATCTTTGAGCTGCAAAGATCAGCAAGCACGGTCAGTGAACAGCTATTAGATTAAAACATACTAACTTAAAATAGCGAATGCGTTTTTTAAGCAATTCAAAGGAGGAATATATAAGAGTATTGATTGAACAGAGATAATTAGAAATGAAAAGATCTACAGCTGAAACGAAATGAAATTACTTGCTGCCCTGCAAGAACTACATCTTGAGGAGGCATTTCTTCAGTGCCGATTTCAAGAACAAAAAATCTTTGCTCGTCATGCACCTGTTACACAAGTAACAATAAAAATTGTAAGTAGCAATTGTTACTGTCAACAATGATTGAAAAGAACAGTTATGAGTTCTTTAGACATAGAGATTGTTACATATCAAAAAATTAAGCAGGAGGAAAAGCTGTCATATTAAAGAGAATGAAGAAAATTCAACCGACTTTGGGCAGACCAACCTTTTCGACTGCGGCCTCCAAAAGCTCTTTAGCAGATATATGCTGAGCAGGTTCAGAAGCATTACCCAGAGGATGTCCAAGGGACTCCCTGGTCTTTAACCAGAGTTGAGCACATTGACGAGCTAAGCTGATTAAACCAAAAAGAAATAAGCAGACAAAAGATGGGAAGAATTGATCTAAAACAGTTTCACACCAAGCAAAGTGTTCTCTTCAAGTGTGGATCTGCATTTCTCAGATATATTTAAATGAGACAACTGAAGTTCCCTGTTTTAACTGGAAAGGTAAGCTTTTTCACCTTAGTGTTGCGTGAACAATCAATTGTTCTAGATAATTCAGGCAGCTATTTGAGAAGGCAAGCTTCTTCAGTTTATTGTTATGTGAACAATCAATTGTTCTAGATAATTCAGGGAGTTAATAACATGAGAGAGAGAAGGCTCACCTTCGCATCCGACCAAAATAGCGAGCACGCTCTGTTACCCCGACAAAACCTCTAGAATCTAAAATATTGAAAGCGTGAGAGGTCTTCAGTAGCTGATCATACCTAGCATGTTCAGCAAACATTAACTTTAAGAAACCACAGAACAAAGCAGAGAGTATAAATAAAATAGAAAAAAAAGCTCTTAAACATACGCAGGGATTGGAAGGCCAGAGGCAAGCAAGGAACGAGCTTCTTCCTCAAAAAAATCAAAGTGCTTTTGAAGATGATGAACGCTGGCATGTTCTAAATAATATGCACTCATTTCCTTCCTGAAACAGAACTTCAATATTTTGGTAATTTGCACATAATTTGAAACTTGAAAGAGGAAAGCACAAGCTACATGATGTTGAAGTAATGACGTGGAAATTTTGACAACAAAATAGCAATATTGAAAAGGTACGGCAAGAGTGAGCATAACATTCATGTAAGAGTAGCCACAGGAGAGGTGGAAAAAAGAAAGAAAGAAAGCAAGCAGTTACTGATCAATGTACACTAATTCTTGTCACGAATTCTATGCATAACATCCACTTTGAACTGAAAAAAAAAAAAAGGATAATAATTTCATTTACTCATTTTCCAAGAACAACTCCCCATATGTAATGCCATCAGCATATCGAATTTTCTTAAAATGGTCAACTCCCTGCCAATTAGTAGTGACATAACTTAAGCCAAAGTTCTAAAGCAAACAAAAGCAGGAAAAGAAAAGGGAAAGAAAGACATTGACCTGAAGCAACATGAGGATGCGCTCAAGACCATAAGTGATTTCAACAGATATGGGAGACAGTTGAAGACTTCCAGCCTAGAGAAAAAGGAAATCAAAGAAAATTCCAAGCAATACATAAATTAAAAACTCCATGAAAGTTCAACTCCAACCTTAACCAGGAAAATCCAAGAGCGTCAAAAAATAAATAAATAAATCAAAGCCTAGAAGCCATAATTATGAAATGGAAAACATCATATATTAAGTCACTGCAAATCTCAAAGAAGAACCTGCTGAAAGTAGGTGAATTGAGTGATCTCCATCCCATCCATCCAGATTTCCCAGCCCAAACCCCAAGCACCTAGTACCTACAAGCATTTTCAGGTGCTAGTAATATATCATTTGTCAGCAATGAATTGTATATCCCATAGTTGTAAGCAATCTTGTTAAATGCAAGAGTTGCTGGCATGCAAATCAAATTACCGGGCTCTCCCAATTATCCTCCACAAATCGTATATCATGTTCATTAACATTAATACCTGTCAAGCATAAAGGAAGGAAGACATCAAGCCTCAATCAGAAAATTAAACAGTAAAACATGTCTGCCTATGAATGCCGTACTTACAGACACACTAAATCGGAAAAGATGGTTATTAAACAGCACACTTTGCTGATGATTAGAGAAAAACAATAGCAACTGTGAACCGCACATGATGTAATTTTTTTCATTTTTATTTTTTGATAAATTAAAAGACCTAAGTTCAAAAACTGAAGAACAGTAATTATATTTCAACAAGCATATGCAGCACAAAGCACCTATATTCTAGTCTGAATAAGATATACACTGCATGGAACTCAAGCACCTTGGCCCCCTGCTATTTAACAATTTCCACCATACACCAGTCATAAGATACACACCGATTAAAAGAAGAAAGAAAGAAAATATCTAGAAATTTCTCCCCATTCTGACAATCACAACATGTGGGGAAACCCTCTAGAGAGTCTCCTACCTTTCAAACTGCATAAAATTACGTATGTCCGTGTGCATACATGCACATAATACCCATATAGAAACAGAAAAAAAAATAATATGATTAGACTCTAAGCAAGGTCTCTCTCATTTAACAATGAGATCTTTCTAACTTGAAGGATTTTTCTTCCTTTATTATCCTCAACCTCTTCATTTTATTTTTTCTTTTTGTTTGAATTTATTGGAAAAAAAGAGAGGAGGGGGGAACAAAAAAGTTTGCCGAATTTTCAAATGAATTATACAAAGAATAGAAATAAAGCGCAACTAAGTCATGAACTTCTATAAATTATGCACTTCTGGAAATAACAGAACTTCTCGCAAAAGACTGACAAATTTGAAATGGAACATGGAAATGGAGAAAATTACCTAAAGCAGAGAGGCTTCGAATAAAGAGTTCTTGTGAATTTCCAGGATCAGGTTTTAGTATAACCTGAAATGAACAAGAAACCCAATGGTAGAAGACATAAATCACATACCCATAATTCCAAAAGAAAGTTATCAGCATTTTAAAATCGCAAGATTTGATCAATCAAATTCAACTTAACCTGAAACTGCATGTGACGCTGTAGTCTGTTTGGGTTTTCCCCATAACGACTATCATCTGGGCGAATACTAGGCTCCACATACCTTTCATTAAAAACTCCACGTTAGCAATCACTGTAAATAGTAAACCTCAAAACCCCATCTTGACTGTATAACATTATATCAAATTAACTTATCACAACATAATTCAAATATGAGCTAAAAACAACACATGCAGTCAGAATTTCACAATGTGAACCAAAAATCCTGGCAACTTATCACTCTTTTTCATTCAGAATCACTGCCATACTGTCATTAGCTCCGAAACTAAAGTTCTTGAGACAAAAAACACTAAATCATATTGATAAAATTGCATCAAAAATCATACACTTACGCCACATTCCAAGGTTCAGGACCAAGAACTCTTAAGAATGTAAGAGGATTCATAGTCCCGGCTCCAACCTAGTAATACACAGCCAAAAAAACTCAATCAAAAGAAAAAGCAACACGAATGTGAAGAAAAATTGACAATATTAAACATGTAACCCTACCTCAGTATTGCTACACTGCATCACTGCACATCCAACTGAAGCCCAATATTTCTATTAAAAGAAACAAAATAATAATAAATTTTCAATTTTAGATGAAATTAAAATCTTACAACAGAAAAAAAATCGTCCTGGAGGCTGGACATTAGACCTGGAGACGCTGAATTGCTTGTTGAAATGTAGGGATGGAGGTGTTTTGAGGCTCATTGTTAGGGTTAGTTGAAGAATGTTGTTGAATTGAAGAATTGGTGCCAATGGCGGAGACAGTTGTTTTAGTGAAGTGGCGGTGGCGATTGAGAAAGAAGCACTTAGCGTTTGGCCTTCCGACAGCGGCGGCGGAGGAGCGGAAGAGGAAGAGGCGGATGTTTTGGGGTTTTAAAACGGATATGACTAGCGGGAGCGCGAGAATTGCCATGGCTTGGCTCGCAATCTCCCTTGCACTCACTGTCTCCAATTTGAGGCTTTAAAGAGGCTTAGCCACTTTTCCCCATCCTCGATGGTACTCCCACGAAATGGTTAAACTTCAATTTAGTTCCTAAACTATATACTCGTTTTCGATTGAGTCCAAAACCTGTAAATTTTATCAATTCGGTTACACCCGTTTGGGATTTCAATCAGGTCCGTTTGTTAGTAGTCATTCGGCTAAATTTTAGCAGATCATCGCTATACGTCAGGCTCCTTTACAAGAGTGTTTTAAATAAAATGTTGATGAGCAAACGCTAAAGAAACCAAGAGTGGAGGGATGGATTGGCAATGTGATCCATGATCACTGAGATTTTTCTATTGATTCCAGAACTGTCCGACCTTTTCTCATCTATGACATCTTTTAAGGCTATGGAGGCTCTAGCATGCAGTTGAAGAAGCTTTGAGTTGGATTAAGGTCGAGGTTTGGCAATGTTGCTATTGAGTCTGATTTGGTTTTCAATTACGTTTGATATTCTGCAGTAAAATTGTTAAACTGGTACTCGTGATGTTCCCAGTGATGGGAATTGAGCAGCTCACATCACGAAGAAGCAAGCTTCCCAGCGCGGTCGCATGCTTAGAATTTTATCAGTGTTCCTTTTCACTTGAATAGCTTGTTTTATTGGAAGAGCTATCAAACTTTCTCCGAATTTAATATATTTAAAACATAATTTTAAAACTTCTAATTTTAGGTTTAATTTCTTCTTAACTTTTTTTTAGAGAAATATAGTCCCTTTTTTAATTTTTTATCGAAAATAATGGTCACGTAAATAACCTTGTGATGGAAGTTATTTAATAAAGCTGATCTAGCTCTCTAAAAAAAATTAGAATCATTCCGAGTTATGTTTTACTTTTTTTCGATCTTTTATATTTTTAATATTCAGAAAATAAAAAATATATTTTTTTTCAATCTTAAAAATTCTAAATTATTTTCATAAAATAAATTGAATTTTTCCTAATGTATATGGAAAACATCATTTTAAAATATCGAAAATTGAATTTTTCTATAAAAAAATGATATTTAGAAATCAAAAAATGAAATAGATTTTAAAAAATAAATAAAATTGAAGCAAGAACAAACCAAAAATTAAAAATTCTGCTTTTCAAATTAATTAAAGTTTCTAAAAGGTTTAACTTATTCAGCCTAAATTCACAATGCTTCTACTTTTTTTTGTTTCCTGCTTTTTATGAAAGCCGGTGTGAGATTTTACGTTTAAAAAAAAAAAACCAAAATCAAACTATTTATTCGTTCGAACGAAACTTTTTAGAAATTACTAGTTAGATACTCGCGCTATACTTGCGGTCAAACAACGATTACATACGTAGCGTTAACAATTCGTATGGTATAGTGCGAGTAAACGTTTTAGTTCGATGAATAATGTAAATCAAATCTATATATTGAGTAAAATTGTTTGATTTATATGTATATTTGTTAACAAAATATTTAATAATATTAGCATAAAAATTTATATTTGAATAATTAGAGGTTTTTTAAAACATTATCTAACTTATTTTATTTTAAAAAATTTATAATATGAAAAAATAAAAAATAAATAATTGATATTATGTGTCCAAATATATAGTTAATTTCTAATAAAAATAATATATATATATATATACACAAAATTGATTTTGATAAACTTTGAATAAATATATATAAAAAGGCAAATAATACTTGTTAATTTTTTTAAAAAAAATTGAGCCAAACTATCTAAAGTATACTTTTATCTCTCTCTCTTTCTATATATATATATAATCGAATTTATAAATTATAATAACATATTTAAAAAAAAATAAAACGTCGACATTCTAAAATTGTATTCCAAAATTCGAGTATTAAAAAATCAAATTTATTAACAAATAAAATTATATCAAAAGATTAATTCGATGAGAATTTTAATAAGAAACAAATATTTGAAGAAATAAATTTTAAACATTAAGAGTAATATAATCAGATATATATGTTCAAATTAAAATCTTAAAAAATATAATATATATTTTATCATCTTCAAACTATATAAAACTAAAAAAATATATAATTTATTTTTATATTTTTTATACTTAATTTCACGATAATATATATATAAAAGCCAGGCTCAGGTTCGTGCCTGGTTTTATTTTTTTTTTATATAAAAAAAAGTGTCAAGCGCTGTGCGGCAAGACAGGCCAGCGCACTTAGGCCTGCAAGTGCAGGCCTTAGTTGCCTTTCAACCTATATATAGTAAATGAACAATCACTATCTCAAATCTTTTAGTTTTCTTAGTAATATTAAATTCTATAGACAGATAGAATGTATTTTTTAAGACTTTCGAATATTAAAACTAAATGTCTTTTTAAACATATCTTTGATGAATAAAATAGATAAATAAAGAATATATCATATAGGTATTGGTGTCTTTTTATTTTCATTTGAAATACAAAATTAATTAAACTATAAATATTGGTATTTTTTAAATTATTTAGAAAATGAAAAACTTAGAAACTCAAAATTACAGCTTAAATAGCAATTTAAATTCTACATCCTTAGAAATAAAAAGCAACAGAGCTCTTTTTATCTAAGATCCCATCCCATAGAATCAACATCATGCTACAAGAACTAAGAAAGAATTCAATCAAGTGTCACAATTTTGTTTAAATAGTAATTTTACTGATGAAATAAATGAAACCAATACATCGTTATTTTTTTGTGATAGACATGCGCACAATTGAGTTTGTTACCACTATAAATAAATGAGTAATGGGACATATTGTTAAGCTTCATTAACAAAAATTTTAAACTATCAAGAATTGCTAAAAATTATCATTGGGTTTCAACTAATAAAAAGTACCCCCTACAACCCATAAAATAGACATCAAAAATCATTTTTTCAAGGATAAAATATCTTAACAAAGCATGAACCCTGTACACAAATCAAATCTAGATATAAATTGCTAACTTACCAAAAGGAAAAAAAAAAAAAAACCAAAAAAAAAACTAAGGAGATAGAAGGCAACCGCCCCAAAAATCATCACCGACCACATCTAGAGTTTTTCTTTAGAAGAGAGTAAATAAAAATAGAGCGAGAGAGTACATAATCAACAACGTCATTCATCAACTGTCACAAATAAAGATCATCGAAGAACGTCATAAAAAACTCATATATAGGATATAGTATAAGATTTTGAAAAATGAAATTTTTTGTCCATCCAAGAGTATATATTATCAGTACATGTTGACATCCATAGAAAGGAAAAATAAGTGCACTAAAATTAAGACCGTTCTTGTCTTGCGTTTGCTCTCCCCATGCATCTCTGCCACCTCTAACTTGAATAGCACTCGTCTTTGTCATTGCTACTTCAACACCGGTATTACTCCATTGTCATTCACGAGGTAGTCATCAACAGTTAGGTCGTGAGTTGGGGCAGGTAGCTCACTACCGTTCCCCTGTGTACAATAAAAAATTGTTAGAACTCATATTCTAAATTAAAAAATAAAATAAAAATAAAAGGTTGTTTGGAATAACTTTTTGTTTATATTTTTAATTTATTTGGTTTTTTTTAACAGAAAGCAAAACCAACGGTTGTCATTACAATTTTTGAACACCAACTTGTTTGAAATTTTTGAAAACCTATTATTGGAATTTTTGCCTTTTTAAAAGAAAACACAAACAGAAATAATACTAGATGATCTTAACAACAAATGGTCAACAATTATTTCTTCATGAAAAGCAAAATTGATCCAAGTAAAGGTAAATCAGAAAATCGAAAATGCTTGAAACACTATGATGGCATACATCATTTCTAAAAATAAAATTTTTTTAAAGATAAACTTAAAAAATAAAAAAAATTAAATAACATAATATCTATTGAAATAAAATAACTAATTTTTTTTACTCTCTTGTATCATTTAAAAAAAAAAAAAACTACTCTTATAACATTATAATAATTTTTCTTTTACACCACTAGTGTTATTACATAGCACTACTCTTAGAAAACAGAGACATACATATGGCCATCCTCGAGGGACTCGAGATTGACGCATCCCAAGTGAATTTTTCATGGTCGAGCCATCTGACCTCATAGGTATACCAGACTCGGGAACTGGTGCGTTGTAAACAGGCTGCGCCGCCTCTCTAATGGCAGAAGTGTTGTCTAAAGTCCTTTCAAGTGGACGTTGCAACTACAAAATTTGTATATATGCATAAAAATATGTTAAAGATACTGGTTGATATATAAAGAGAAGGAAAATGAGTTAGGATTCCACAAAAAGTGTCATACTAGCACAGAATCCAAGCGGATGCAGCTATTTATTTATGCTTTGACATCAAAAGTAAAGAATGCTGGCTCTCCTGATTATTTTTGTTCGAATTTTACTCCACGTTGCCCTAGGCTTTGAAAATATTTTTCCTCCTATTTTTTTTTTCCTTTAACAATCAAGTTGTATTTGTTGTTAATGTTAAATATGTATATTTAACAGCTATATATATTGTGTGATTTGTAAATAATTATTCATTTATGACAATAATATATATATCGTCATGATAATTCAATGACTCCTTTAACATGGCTTAATGAAATAGAATAAGATATTTTGTTTGGTTGTAAAATTTTTTAGTGGTGTAATGATCTTCTCTAATTCCTATATTTTATCCTTATTCACTAATTGGTTCTTATTTAAAAGTTGTTTGATCATTGTATTTTTAAAAAATTACATTTTAGTGCTTTTTGATGTTATAGCTTTTTACAATTAAGTCTCTACATGAGTTCTTTTTTTATCATCTAGTGGTTCGTTGCATAATTATTATTATTATTATTTTTTTGTTATTATTCAATGCTTGAATTGCAATAGTACATCACATTATAATTTTAAAAATTATACAACTAAATATAAAAATGTAATGAATTATTAAATGACATGATTTATTATATTGAATCAAATATACCACAATTGGTTTCTAAATTCAAAAACAATATAATGCATGCGTTTGTTATTCTCTCCACACAAAAAACCTATCATCCATCTTCAAGAGGAGATCCTGTGTAGTCCTATATATCACTATCTATGCATAGAAGGAATATTATCAGGTGGATACATTGATGTTGATCATAATAGTTTGTGCAAAATGATCTATTATCAGGTGGATGCATTGATGTTGATCATAGTTTGTGCAAAATGGTTTGGGTATATATATATATATATATATATATATACATAGGAAAAGAAACTACAGCCTTACAAGTTGCTGAAGCATGTGGATCGTAGTAGTTTGTCCTTCAACTATTTGCTCCAGTCGCCTATGAGTTTCTCTAACTTGCTCCACATATTCTTTGAGCTGATCCAGTTGTCCTTTTAAGTAGGCATTGCTTTTCTCCAACTGAGCTTTTTCTGCTTTAATCGTTTCCAACTCTCTCTCAGTGTCTTTTGTCTTTTGCTGCACATAGATTCATAAAAAGAGAAAAGGATAAATTAACTATTTACGGGGTTCGATAGGGAGGAGTGGAGATATTGTTCAGTCACTTCTACCTTCTTCCTATCAAGATATTTCCTGTCACTTGCCCGTTTCCTGTTTTGCCTATCTTGATCAGCTGATTGCTGGACAGTTTGATCATTAATCTGATCACCTGTGTTCATGTGTTTAGAATTTGAGAGAACAAAATTCGAAATAACTACTATAATATGTATATTGAGAGGAAAAAACTTGCTAAATATGTTAACAATTAATTGAATGTGTTTGATGGCTTTCATATATTAATATCCCTGAAACAGTCATCAAATTTAACGTAGGGGAATCATCCTTCCTGCAAGGCTTAATTGCAATCAATGTATCTTCATATTAACCTATTGATGTATTTGATCATTCACCAAAATATTAATTGATTCTAGATGTAGGTATTAGTGTCAAGAATATTTTTTCGTTGAAAAAGAAGTTTCTAGCCATCCATTTGTATTTATCCAGAATATATACGCGACCTAACTAATATAGTTCCAAAAAAGAAGTGGTTGTTATATATAAAACTTATACTATGCAGATTCTCTTTATTCAGCTCATTGCCTTTTCTTTTTTCTTTTCTTTTCTTCTTCTTCTTCTTCTTCTTCTTCTTCTTCTTTTTTTGATAAATCAGGATTGTTAAGTGATAGAGAGCTAAAATGCTTAAGCGTACATTGATATATATAGAAAGAAAGATCAAAATAGGATATATCTATAACTTAAGTGATCATGTTTATGTATATACCTATTTTCGTGTTAATTTAATTAAATGATCCAACTGAACTTAGTAAATTAATGATCAAAACAGGATATATCTATAAAAAAAAGTCCCATGAATCACTGCCATTTATTTTCTTCTTTGCTTTCAAGTACTATTATATAGCCGTCTTTTTTCCTTTTTTCTTCTGAAAAAAAAACCTCCAAACAAACTCCTTGCCTGTTATATAATTCGACTCTAACTGATTTTAATATATACGTTAACTTTCCAAAATCTTTGAATGGCGATTTAAATGGATATATTTTTTAAATTTTAAAAATAAAATTTCACAAAAACCCAACCAACATGAGCACAAAATCAGTTTGACAATTAAAGTATATATAGCTAGCTTGTAGAAATTAAGCATACAATAAATGATAAACATATAAATGCGAGTTCTAGCTTACTAATTAGTGCTTAATAACCATAGATATATACTGGGATTAATGTGTTCTACCTCCAAGACCTTCAGACTGATGCTCCATTGAATTGTCTGGCCTCTGCAGAAAGTAAAGCAATTGGATCGAGGATAGCAGCTGAAAGATCCAAATTAGGGCACGACAAAAGAAATAAAATTTTAGTATTCCATGGAAGTGTGTGAGAGACAGTGAAGGAGATCTAACCCAAATGTTTATTTTAGATGAAAGAAAGACACTTTCACGAAATCGAGCGAAAAAGCGCGAATAACGATCGACTGGGGAAGATATAAAGAGTACATAAAGAAAAAAATTAATTAAGAAATTCATATGTTTTTAAATTTTCCTATAACTTAATTATTTTCTTTCTTATTTTTAATTTTTTAAGAACTAAAAAGAAAAAGTAAAACATATGGAAAAATGGATAAAAAAAATATTTTTTAGATAAAATAATATTAAATTAATAATAATCAATACTGTTAATTAATTAATTTTTAAAATAAAAAGAATTATTTATTTTATTTTATAAAACTAGAAGGACTAATTTATAATTTACGCTATGTAATTATTTCGGTCTGTTAGTTTGGGTACAGGAGAACTAGTTGGAGGATGCCTTGACTGTTAAAAATATATAGTTGTACCTTACCATCTCTTCGTCTCCAGAGGCCGGTTTGTCTGTTCTCGTACCACCAGAAATATAAGCTTGTTTGAAGCTCAGTTATTCTGCTTTCATTTTCTAAAATCATACAGTACTTGTACAACTGCAAATATTCTCCCTTCTTGTATCTTGTCATCCCAATTCTGATGTGGTAAATTCACTCAAATCATGCAGTTTCATCTGTAAAATAGTTAAGCTGATAGATCGCATAAGCTGTGAGCCAGTTGCGAGGTTTCGAATAAACGAATCTGTTCTTCTTGTTAACACTCTCTCCAGCATTTTCTGCTTCTTGTCCTCGTTCCTGGACAATATTTTAAAGCAGGAAAGAAACAAAAGAAAAAATCAATAGAGGCAGAGAAACAAACAGTGACAACCTAAAAATGTATCATCACTTACATATATTTTCATGGCTAAATATTGATCATTAGGAACAGATAAAAAAAAAAAAAAAACCTTGAATTCAAGTTTTCGATGATGAATAATTATCGTACAGATCGACCCAGCAATGTAGCTTTTCCGTTTGTGCTAACAGATGAACTAGCTTCAAATCGAGGGTTTTCAAGTCTGGTGGTTGCAATCCTGAAAACGGCAGCGAGACTTGAGCTGGTTTGATGACTTTGTGGCTCCGAGGAACCATTTGTTCATATCAATATGATTATTGACAAGACTTTAAATGTTAACAAAAGAATTGGAGAACTGTGAAAAAAAAAATTGACGAAGACTTTCAGAAAATATCAAACCATATTACGGGTCCACCACGTGAAAATAACCTTAGCGGCGGATAAATTTTTGCTTAACATCGTATTACGGGTCCACCGCGTGAAATTAAGCCTAGCCGCTGATAAATTTTTAATTAAGAAGCATATGGTATGGGGTTGAAAAAATAAAAGTAAATTATTATAAGTTGATTTTTAAGTATATTTAATGTGTTAATAAACTGAAAGATTAAATATTAGGGGAATTAAGAGAAAATAGTTAAATCGTTAATAATGATTGATGAAAATAAATAAATAAATTATTTTAAGTGTATTTTGAGAATAATAATAACAATAATATTCCTTGCTCGGAGACGGACCAAAAAGACTAGGCATATTGGGTAAAATTTACTCTTCAAAAAAACCAATTTTCAGGACTAGTACCACCCTACTAATTGACCCCCGGTGAAAATTCAACCAAATATTCTTGAAGGAAAATCAAACCAAAATTAAAAATTTTTATTTTCAAATTGATTAAAGTTTATAAAAAGCTTAACTTGTTTAGCCTAAATTCACAATGCTTTGACTCTTCTTTGGTTCCAAACTTTTCATGAAGGTTAGCGTGGGATTTTTTGTTAGAAAAAAAAAATCAAAACCAAACTATTTACCCATTCGTATTGAATTTTTTTACAAATTAAATTAAATTTTATAGACAGATATAATGTATTTTTTGTGAATTTTGAACATTAAAACTAAAATTCTTTTTAATCACATCTTTGATAAATAAAATAGATAAATAGAGGATGGATCATATACGTATTAGTGTCTTTTTATTTTCATTTGAAATACATAATTAAATAAATTATAGATATTTGTATTTTTTAATCATTTAGAAAATGAAAAACTTAGAAATTCAAAATTACAACTTAAATAGCAATTTAATTTAAATTCTGCATCCCTAGAAATTAAAAAACAATAGAGCTCTTTTTATCTAAGATCTAATCCTAAAAGAATTAACAACTCATGCTACAATAATTAAGCTAATCATGTGCACAATTTTTGTTGGACCATTTTTAATAAAATATATATTTTATTTTTTTTAAAAAAAGGAGGTATAAGTTACCGTTGAAACATAGAATTATACCATTAAAGTGAAGACGTATAAGTTACTAGTTCAAACAAGTAGCTTGTACATTGAATTATGTTTTAAAACAAAAGCTGCATCAATTTTTTTTCTCATTCAATGAATACAACATCTTTTTTAAACGCTTCTTCCGTTTATTCATTTATTTTCAATTAATTCGAGTAACCAATGGGCAAAATTTTTTTCTATATAAATGGCACTTGCCATTTGGTGAACTTCACTTCAACGAAACATTTCCTTACACGATGGAGAGTGAAAAAAAAAAAAAAAAACATAGCAAGCAATTTTTTCTTTATTTTGCTTAGTTTCTTTCAATTTTATTACTTTTTATTTCCCACTAAAAGCCATGTTATTTTTTATTGTTAATCTTTATTTGGATAAGAGTGGTGTTGGTTTATAATTGAGTTTTAAGTCTTACAAGTAGTGTAAACTTGTCAAGATACGATAAGGTGACCGAGCTTGTTGTATCCCCGGAACGGTGTGCAATATATCCCCGATCCGTTGCATCGAAAAAAATTCTACGAACGACACGTATCGTCTCAAGAAAGCAACTCTGGTTGTGCCTCGAGACAATCACCTATAAAAATTCAAGCAAAGCTACTTTGGTGTTTTTCATTCAAAATTTTCAAGTAACATTTTTTTTCAACAACTTGAGATGATACATGCTAATGGAAAACACTAATATGCATGGGCAAAGCTCCACTAGAGTGGGTGATCTTAACAAACCCTTCCTCTTTTATGGTGCAAATTTTAAAAGATGGAGGCAAAAGACTTTATTTTATCTTACTTTATTGAATGTGAGCTATGTTATAACCGAAAAAGGTCATAAGAAAAAAAAACTGAAAATACGAGTGATGAAAAGATAGCTCAACATGAAATAGAAGTTAAGAAATGGGAAAGAGATAGTGATCATTGTAGAAATTATTTACTAAACTGTCTTTCTAATGAGCTTTATGACTACTATGATTAAGGATATTCTTTTGTTATGAAGATCCGGAAGGCTCTAGATAAAACAGATGACACCGAAGAAGTTTGGATCCAAAAATATGCTTGCAATCATTTTTTCAAGTTTCAAATGAATGAAGAAAAGCATGTGATATATCAAGTCTATAAGCTTCAAATGATTGCACATGACATCCATTTCGAAGGTATACGTGTAGATGAGCAAATACTAGTTTCAACCATTGTTGACAAGTCGCCGGAATCCTAGAAAGATTTTGCTAAATGCTTGAGGCATAAATAAAAGGAGCTCTCCATTGAAGCTCTTATTACTCGTTTAAGGGTTGAAGAGGAAGCAAGAAATAGAGACGAAGTCGTTGAACTTAACGGTTCAAATGGTACTAAGGTAAACATCATTACCTCTAATGAAAACTCTTATCACATGCCAAAAGCTAATGAAAAGTTTAATGGTCGGTATAAGTCAAAGAAAAAGATTTTTAAGAAAAAGCCTTATGGAAACCGAGCATCACTTTAACCAACCAAGAAATTATGAATCACGTCCTAAACCACCACTAAATAATGTCAAGCACAATAATGCTTATGCTTGTTTTGTTTGTGGTAAACCTAGGCATGTTGCTAAAAATTATCGACTTTGAAAACGTGGGCTTGTTACTCGAAGCTAACGTTATCGAAGAGCCACTTATGGCTATGATTTTCGAGATTAATATTCTCAAAGGCTCATATGAGTGGTGGGTTGATTCAAGAGCTACTCGACATGTCTCTTATGATTAAAACTTATTTAAGACTTATACAATCTTGGATGAGAAAAAAAAATCATGATTGGTGATTCTCACACTATTGATGTAGTCGGGGTTGGAGACGTACTCATTAAATTTATATCCGGAATAGAGGTTACTCTCAAAGATGTGTTGCATGCATCCGAAATTCGTAAGAATTTAGTTTCGGTTTTCTCTTAAATAAGGTCGGCTTTAAGTAAGTTATTGAGGTCGACCAATTTTACTTTTCAAAAAATACTTATTTGTTGGAAAAAGGCTATGCTTGTGATAGGGTGTTTAAACTTAATATTGAAATGAATAGTGAAGGATCCATTTACGCTTATATTGTTTCTTGTGTGAATGTTTGGCATGGTAGATTATGTCATCTAAATTGTAAATATGTGAAAAACTTGAGTAATATTGGTTTAATCCCTAAACTTGAAAATGAGTTTGAAAAATATGAATCTTGTACCATGGCGAAAATTTCAAGAAAACCTTTTAAAAGTGTTGATCATGATACCGAATTATTAGAACTAATGCATATTGATATATGTGAATTTAGTGGTATTCTAACTCGTGGTGATAATCGTTATTTTATAACTTTTATTGATGATTTCTCAAAATATTCATATGTTTTTCTTATGAAGCATAAAAATGAAGCTTTTGAAAAATTTTCTACTTTTTTAAAAGAAGTTGAAAACAGATTTGGTAAAAATATAAAGAGGCTTCGCAATGATAGAGGTATGGAATATGGCTCTATTAGTTTTAATAATTTTATGCAAACTAATGGTATTGTGTATAAAGTTACAGACTCCATATTCACCTTCTTCAAATGATGTAGCTAAAAGGAAGAACAAAACTCTAATTGATATGGTAAATTCTATGTTTGTTAGTTCTAATGCTCCAACGAATTTATGAGGTGAAGCTTTTTATCCGCAAATTTTGTTTTGAATAGAATTCCACATAAAATCACATTTTTAACTCATCATGAATTATGGAAAGGATATAAGCCAAAATTAGATTTTTTAAGAATGTGCAGTTGTTTAGATTTTGTTAGGCTATTTGATCCTAAAAGACCAAAACTTGGTAAAAAAGGCTTCTAATTGTGCTTTTTTAGGTTATGCTTTGAATAGTAAAGCTTATATATTTTTTGATCTTGATAACAAAATTATTATTGAATCTTTGGATGCTATCTTTCATGAAAACAAATTTCCTTTTAAGGTAAAAAATATTGAGGGTATGATTCTTCAACCAAATGTTAATTCTTCTTCTTCAAGATGTGAAAATAAAAATGATTTTGAACCTAGAAAAAGTAAAAGAGTCAAATTTAAAAAAGATTTTGGTTCGATTACTACTTATATAATGTACAAGATGATCTTGTTTCTTTAAAAAAGCCTTATCTTCCGATGATGCGAATTTTGGAGAGAAGTTGTTAATGATGAAATGGATTCTCTAATTTCAAACAATACTTGAAAAATAATTGAATTACCTCCTGGTTGTAAGACAATTGGCTATAAGTGGGTACTTAAAAAGAAATTGAATCCCGATGGATCTATAGATAAGTTCAAAGCTAGACTAGTAGCTAAATATTTTAAATAAAAAGAAGATATTGATTTCTTTGATACTTTTTCTCTAGTATCAAGGAACATCTATTAGATTACTTATTGTAATTGACGTTATTCATAACTTGTTTATACACCGGATGGATGTAAAAACAGCTTTTCTAAATGGAGATTTAGAAGAAAAAATATATATGGATCAACTCGAAGGTTTTATAACATAAGGTGATGAAAATGAGGTATGTAAGTTACAAAAATCTTTATATGGTTTAAAATAAGCACCTAAACAATGGCATGAAAAATTTGATGCTTGCTTACTTAATAATGGTTTTAAAGTAAATGAGAGTGACAAGTGCATATATTATAAATCATTTGAGAATGTTCACGTGATTTTATGCTTATATGTAGATGACTTTTAATTTTTGGCTCAAAGATGAATGTTACTAATAATACTAAATTATTGCTTCAAAATAATTTTGATATGAAAGATTTAGGTGAAGCATATATGATACTTAGCATGAGAG